CCCCCCTTCCCCGGGTGTGCCTGGCCGGGAGAGACAAGGATATCCATTTCACCGCGCTAGGGGGGGCCAGAGGGTGTCGGGCAAGATTGGACCGAGGTCGTCTGGAGGGCCCACGAAAGAGGCAGGTATGGAACGGGCAACAGACATGGTTCTGTCACCGGGTGTCTGTTTCCCCCTCATCTAGGGCTCGGCCTCTGCAGCGTGTGACAGCGCGGCGTGCCTGCATGTTGCAGTGGTATAGTAGCATCCCCGGGCCTGGGTATGGCGCCCCGCGAAAGGTGTAAGTCGATGTAATGGCCGTGGTGTGGACCACGCCTGGGCATTCGCCAAGCTTCCCCGCGGCGGGCACACGGCATTTGCTGGTAGCGGCGATCGGGAGTGACTCGGGGCGAAGCTGCTGGCAGGGCCGGGCAGCAGGGGCTCCGATTGGGCGGGAGGGGCGGCGACCTGCCTAAAGAAGCAATGATCAGGACGCTCCCCTCCGGTAGCTCTTGCGCGGGTTGCATGCGTTCTGCACCTGACCAAGGCAGACTGTAGCGAGCCCCCTGTTGGCACGGGTCAGGATACGACCTGGATGTTGCCGTGTCTCACTGTTTGCCGTCATCTGATGGCGGGGGAATGACAGTTGCTTTTCTGCAGTCATTGGGGGAAACACTACCCATGTTCCAGGGGAAAGGCGTTGCCTATTGTGTGCAATCAATGAGTTCCTGGGAACATGTGTATAGGTAGAACACAGATGGAATGTGAAATGATAGCAATGCCCGTATTAGCCAACCTAGCAGTGTCGAAAGTGTGGCCTTGTTCGGTCCATGCAGACCCAGCAGAAAATCGGTCATACAAAATGCAGTGCAGCACAGACACACGTTGGGCTTCCCCGCATGCTGCCCAGGCCGGCCTAACCACTGATCTCCGCCTCGGGTCTTTTGATCGTCCGAAGAACGAGGGACGATTCCGATGTTGTGGAACAAGGCCAAGTCAATACATGACGGGCCGGTCTTGGTTTCTCTTCTCTTTTTTTCTTATTCTTGTGTTTACCCCATCTCCTCTGGCGTGGCGTGACTCTGGTTGCGCAGACAGGCCATCCCTGTGGGCTCATTTCGGGGCGCCTGAGCACCACTGCCGGAGCGTTGCAGTGAACGGTGGGAGACTCAGCAATTCGAACTCAAAATAGAGAGTTGTACACCATCTACCTTGCCATCCCGGCTCGGCTTGACAAGTGTCACTCCGGCATGACGGCAGAATCAAAACTCGAAAACGAATCGGGTGTTTTGTTTTTGTTTTGTGAATCTTGACTTTGGGGTATCGATCAACATGGTCTGGTCACGGTGTTTTAGAGTGGATCAGCCAGTTACTAAACATTCCTAGGTTGGCCGATTTGGTCACTTTGGCCTTGGCTCAATCCTGGCAGATTATCAGACTCCTGAGGAGCAGGTTCTCTGACCAGGAGCCCCGAGTTAGCCGTTCTCGCGCAGCTTTGCCAACGCGGCAGCGATGCCCTCACTGAGCTGTTCCTTCTCTGGCGCTGTCTGCCCGATTCCGCTGCTGCTCCCAACACCAACGTCCTGCTCAGCCCCGGCCATCCCACTGGACTCGGCAAGAGCAGCCTGCAGCGCCGCGTCTTCGTCATACTCGTCGGCGATGTTTGGGTTCCAGATCTGCGTCTGCGCCGCCGTCGCCTTGCCCGCGCGCTGCGTGGCACCGACGGCCTCGCGCAGCGGCGTAGCCGTCGGCGCGCGCTTCCTGGCGGCGGCGGCGGCGGCGCCAGCCTTCCTAACGCGGAAGGGCTGCTCGACGACCTTGCACCAGCTCTTGACCTTCCTCTCGCCCCACCCGCCGACGGACGCGACCTGCTCCGCGTCGGCGTTGACGGCGTTGCGGAGGCTGCCAAAGGTGCTGACTAGCGCGACGGCGTCGGCCTTGTTGATGGCGCGGGGCACCGTGACGAACTCGACGAGGCGCTCGGCGTAGCCCGTGGCCTGGGCGGCGCGGATGGCCGAGAAGTTCGCGTGCTCGTACGATTTGTACAGCTCCAGGTAGCGGGCCGCCTCCTGCGCCGACCAGCACAGCACCAGCGTCACATTGTTGACCAGCGCCGTCTTGGACAGCTCCCGCAGCGCGTCCTCGTGGCTCGGCACGTCCACCATCGTGAGCAGGACCCGGAGCGTGTACTTGCCCTGCAGGTTCCGGATGCGCGTGTAGATGTACTCAGGGTGGAGGCGGTGATACTTAAGACTGGTGGGCAACGAAGCGCGCAGGGAATTAACTGCTGAGCGAATTGCACAACTGGAACGCAGCGCATGACCACAAACATACCTCAGAAACAGGGCGCATGTCGTGAGTCCCAGACCGTAGTCGGCGGGGATATCGCTGTACTCCCACGGGATAGATTTGATCCACGTCAGGACCGGGTTGTTCTTCTGGCGTGGTGACACCAGGATGGCCGACCCGGACCCCCGCGTCGGCAGCGCCTGCGGAGTTGGCTGTACAATCTTGCCCGGTGCCGCAGCGGGGCCTGTTGCCGAGGACGAGCCGCCTGAGGAGGCCCCGGCTTCCCGGACTGGTCCCCTCTCTACCCGCTGGGGCGTAGGCTGTTGGATGCGCTGAGGAGTGGGCTGCTGGACTGCCTGCGCCGTGGACTGTCGGGCTCGTGATGGAACGGTGACCTCGGGCGACGCGGCGGCCAGCGCCTGTATAAAGTCGGCGTCGGCCCCGAAGTCGTCGTCGTCGTCCATATTGTGTGCGAGGTCGGTGTAAATGCTGAATTGGAAGGAGGCAAGGTCGGAGATTCGGATTTAAGGATAGGTATGCACACTGTGCACGGACCATCATTCATAACACGATGACCTCATCCTTACCATTCCAAGACGATGCATCGCAGGTGACAGGAAGTCGCTGGAGAAGATGTCAACATTGTCTTCTCCTATCATGCGATTTTTGAAGTGAGTTAAATCACCGTCTAGGTAGATCAATCTTAGATAGGAGCCAAACCCATGCCCCCACTGACTGGACGACACCCATTCTATTTCGCAACCAGCCCAGCCACTGTAAACCACTCGCCAAGAAACCTACACTCGTAAAATAACGCCGTCGGGGTATTTCTAGTCAAGCTCCTCACTCTCAAGGCCGTCAAGATCCACCCGACTCACGCCATCCTGCGCCTCCGAAGCCAGCGAATCGTGTATTGTGTACAGGGCCTGCAGCCATGTGTCGAGCATCAGCTCGACTGACCGCACCTCCTCGTCCGGCATGCTCACCGAGTCACGCAGCTGATCCCGCAATCTCTCGTAAGCCTCGATCATGACCCAAATCTGCAGCGACGAGACGCCGTTGCCGGAGCGGTTAGGTCTGTTGAATATAGCAGCCGAGAGCTCGCGCGTGAGGAGCTCGAGACATATCTGTAGGCCGAGGCTCTTGGGCGCCGCCGGGGTGATGGAGCGCTGTGGTGGTACGGCAAAATCGTAGTACGCTGACGATCGCGACTCGGGCTCAGCTCCAAAGGACAAGGGCTTGAAATAAATCGTCTCCTCCTCGAACGAAACCAAAGTTCCATCGTCCGAAGTCGGCGAGCATCTTGCCAAGTCGACAGCTGGTGGGGGCGTAGCGCTTCGTTCTGAACTGGTTAGGCTCCGTCTCGGTGGCGTTGGCGAGCGACGATGGTCTGAATGGCGGTGGTGAGAGGACCTCTCCGAGCGGGCCCCTGAGTCGATCGGTTCATGGGCTTCTAGCAGCTCCCGGTACTCCTCCGCCATTGCTTCGGCGCTTTGCCGCTTTGGTCGGCTCTCGCTTGAAGACGTGCTATGCAGCGACGACCTGCTCTCGAGCTGGCCTATGCGCAAGACCGGTGTCTTCGCCTGCCGCCTAAGCCTGGCCCTGGCCGACCCTGATGAGGTGGTGGATGTGGGTGTGCTGCAGCTATCAATGGAAAGCCGTGGCTGCGCAGTTCCCGGCGCGAGATGGGCGAACTCTGGAAAGGTCGGGGAGGGGACGCTCAGAGAGTCTTTGAATACGGCTACCGAGTCCATGGAGCCGACGATCCCCTCCTTCCCCTTTCCCAGATACGCGGCCCATTTGGAATCGCTTAGATCTGGAGGCTGTAGACGTGGGATCGGCCGGGACGGCGGTGCCTGGCCATCCAAGGTACCGCGGGTAGTAGGGCGAGTTTCGGTAGATGCATCGTCAAACGTGACTTGTAGTGGCCGCGCTGGAAGCTGCTGGTGGTGTCGTTGCTGCGATGGCTGTTGTTTCGGTAGTTTTGTGCATGGCTTCTGCAGCCGTTTCCTCGGCCGCGCTGCTCCTAGCGTGGCTTCAGGACCGAGGTGGGCGTGCGACGCAACCAGCGACGGCCCGGTTGTCCGGTCCATGGCCATAGACATCGAGCCGGATGCTATTTAGGCGAGGGAACGTGTGGTATGTACGATCAAAGTACTATACGACGGACACGGCAGGTTGAAGGCCGTTTGGTCGGGCCAAGCTCGCGGTCATATAACACACAAACGGCCAGACGGACGGGCTGACTGCACCCTAGGTTGTTTGAGAAAGATGACGTTGGAAGCAGCTAACCGGTGGCATACAGTAGAGGGACGGGACCTGCGGCTTGCAAATCAGGAATGCGGAACGGCACCTTAAGGGTACGGTGTGCATAGAAGATCCGATAGCCTGTCTCGTCCCGACACAGGACGGGGGTCTGGTTCGTAGGTATGCGTAACATGACCCGCTGGTGGCCCCGATGTTAAGCACCACTTGCGGTGTGTTGAGGTGCGCGGGGGAGCTGGCGCGGCCAGGGGCAAGGACCAAAACCGGATTGTGTCCCCACGGGAGGATGAGTGAGGGTGGCCACTCGGCGCTGGTAGGCTGCAGACACTCCCTGCAGCTTCCAGTAGGACTTGCAGGCGGGCTTTGCGCTTATCAGATGTGGTCATAGTCATGGCAAGAATAAGAGAGGAAAGTGTCAATAAGTCTCGACCAATGTACCCGCAAAGACCCATCAGCGCAACATCGATGTCCCCGGCTGTCTGTCGATGCGCTGCGGGGGAAGCACGAGAAGGGGGTTGGAAGGGGACAGGGCGGGGTGGACATCAGCATGGATGAGCTGCAGACGAAAGACTCAAAACGTGCGCCGGAGAGGCCGCGCTGACGCTGAAGGGGCAGGCAGCGCGGCTGGACTCTGTGGTTAACCTATCTGGTCCTACTCCATACCTCGCTATCAGTAACATGAGAATGGCACGTCCTTGTTTGCGTCGTGAAGAGCTGGTGGGTGTGCGACAGAATCGATAGTTCTTCGTGAGGGAGGTGTGCTTTACAGACTCCACTAGGCAGCGAGGCGTGGATACGAGAGAACTAGAGTCGCTGTCGTGATGCAGAATGGAAATCGCAAAAATGTCATATGACGGTGGGGGTGGGCAGCTTGACCCACCCTCAATCAAGCAACAACATCACGTGGCATTTACGGTCTGGAAAAGGGCGACCGCCCAGGCCAATCACTGTATCTTTGTCATAGTTCTCTCTCCTCTTTTCCCCTTTTCTCTTTGCGATGTGGTTGTGTCCTGGTATTTCAGCGCCTTGTTTTCTAGCGATTGAGTAGGCTCTTCTTGGGGGAACCTGGAACGTGCTGGCGCCCCTTCCGCATGGAGACACAAATGACACCAATGATTTGACGAAATACAGTCAACGATTCGGCTTCTCAAGATCGTGTTGCCGAGAAACCGCTGTCTAACGTCTCGTCTTTCTCCAGTGGTACCGACGATGGTGTCGCGAGATCGGTCGCGAAGCATCCAATCATGAAACTGATCTGGCTTGTGCATGTGTTTGTCGTTTTCCCCGATTTTGACTCGCGGTCGTTCCAGCCACTTTGATTTTGCGCCCGTCAGCCTTGCTTTCGCTCCCGTTGATGTGTTCAGTGAGAATTGACTGCCGGAGCCTTGCAGCGCGACGATTCGTTTTCGGCGCGTGCTGTCTTTGCGTCTTTGAGATTCCCTGGCTGACAGTAGCCGAGGGAGCCTAAGCTGCCCGTGCTTTCGCATAACAAAAGCCCCTGCTGGCTGCGGCAGATGGCCGGAAATGACATCACCTCGCTTCGCGTGCGACCTCCTTCATTCCAGATCCTACAGCCAAATGGGTGCCCTAACAGCATTGCTTTGGCGCCCGATCCCGACGGCAATGCTTTCCCTCCCTCGTCTGATATTCCTCCCGTCTTAGGCCTCCTTAGCAGTTTGCTTTTTGCGTAGCAGGGAAGTCGAGGCAGTTGGCTCAGTCAGGGGGCACGGCCAAGGCTTCATCCCCAATCGGCGCTAGGATTGAAGCCTAAGCAAACAGGCGCAATGAACACGGCGACGGTATCGCTCGCGGTCACGCCGACTGTGGTCTCGACGCTTGTGACCCATGTGAGTCCAACACAGCCATCGCGCAGGGAGAACAACAGAACGGGGCGGGAGACCCGGCAGCGCGCAGGAGCTCCACCAGGTCGCCTGCCTCTCCAGGCCCTCTCCCAGCCAATGACGCTCCCCGATCTCGCGGAATACCGGCACCGCTAACAGCACATTTCAGTACCTGAACCGGAAGCCCCTCCGGCAGCGGCCGACTGCCCACCTGCCCTACCACGAAGGCCTCCACCTCATCAGGTCCTTCCTCCTCTACGCCTCGCACCACACAGTCGAGGAGCTCCAGGCCTTCACTTCCCAATGGGTGCCTCATCCACAATGGGTCAAGGTCCAGGATATCAAGGTCCCGGAGGACCACATCACCCGCGCGGCGTCCCTCCTCGAGGAGCAGCTGGGCCCCGAGGGCATCCGCAAGGTTGGCGGCTCCAAGTGGTGGCAGTGGCGCAAGCCCGACACTCCCCTACGTGCCGAGTGGATCGAGATGCGGTCCGACCATAACGAGCGCAAGAAGTCTGGCCAGCCGTGTAAGCGCATCATGCTGTACATTCATGGAGGCGCCTACTACTTTGGCAGCGTCGACGAGCACCGCTACCAGCTCCAGAGACACGCCCGCAAGCTCAAGGCCCGTGTCATTGCACCTCGCTACCGTCTGTCCCCGCAGTTTCCTTTCCCGTGCGGCCTCCATGACTGCCTGGCCACATACTTGTACCTCCTGGCGTCGGGTCATGAGCCGAGCACCATAATCATTGCTGGTGACTCTGCGGGCGGAGGCATGGCTCTTTCGCTTCTTGTGATACTTAGGGACCGCGGCATCCCGCTGCCGGCCGGCGCTGTCCTGATCAGCCCCTGGGTGGACCTTACGCATTCGTTCCCGAGTGTTGGCGGAGATGCTCCGTTTGACTATATTCCTCAGAACGGGTTTCACCACAAGCATTCGGAGGCGTGGCCACCTCCGACGGCCGAACAGCTCAAAGAAATCAACAGCCAGAGAATTGACGCTAAGAAGGCAACCCAAGGTACGAGTGTCACTCACACGACGCCACATGAACGGTCCTTGCTAACTCGATTTGTAGATGCCTCAAGTATCCCCAGGATTAAGGAGGCTGAGAAGAATGAAGTGCTCCTATCAGTCATCATTGACGGCGAGCCGGTGGAAGTGACGGAGCAGATTCAGGCAAGTTTCTTCCCGGTCCAGGCTTACAGGCGCTTAGTGCTAACCCGCGCCTTTAGATGTACACCACCAACGACCTCCTGGCACACCCACTTGTGAGCCCCATCATGCAGCCCACGCTGGGCGGATTGCCCCCGCTGTTCATCATGACGGGAGGCGGCGAGATCTTGCGGGACGAGCAAATATACCTTGCCCACAAATGCGCCGACCCAGAAAAGTACCTACCGGCCGACTCTCTACTCAACGATGCCGCGCGGGAGCTGGTCAAGCAGTTCAAACCCACGGACGTGCAGCTTCAGGTGTGGGATGACATGTGCCACGTAGGCCCGACGCTGGCTTTCACCCGCCCGGCCAAGTACATGTATCGCTCCATCGCCCAGTTTGGTGCATGGGCCCTGGCTCGGGCCCAACGGACAGAGATCGATATTCTGGATGACGATGATATTTCCGTCATCTCGTCATCGGCCTCTGATAGCGGAGGAGAAGAACAAAATACTGTCCCAGGCGAAACGTCCAACGAGAAGCCGGAAGACTCCCAGAGCACGGTTGGTAAGGCTGGCGATCCGCTGCCCGAGTTCAAGGCACACATGATCCGGCAGCGAGTGACTCGGCACGGCGACGTCTTCCCGCTGGCTCCTCCCTCGGATCTCCCCGGGTGCTGCGCTGCTCCCGAGGACATCGGAGTCCCCAAGGAGACCCAGGTCCGCAGCTGGCTCGAGGCGAAAAAGCAGTGGGAGACTCGGTATGCTAGCGCCTGTAAGAGCGTCCACAAAAAGAGGCTCAAAAACGCCGCTGCCGGGTACGAGTCCTTTGGCGCGGGTGAGCACCCGCCTCCCAGCGCGCTGGCGGGCAGGAGGAAGCTCGGGGCGGAGCAAAAGGGTCAGAGGAAGCGCCGCCGTAGCATGGGCCTGGCCCTCTGGTCGCTTTGGGGCTCAAAGCACGATGAGGTCACGATCAACCGCGAGCAGCAGGCCGACAAACGGCCCGAGTCCAGGGCCCCACAGCCCAGCGAGGGCGCGGGTGCGCGGTCCTTCTTGGACATCCAGGGCCAGGAAGCCGCGCGGCCGGTCACATCCCCGGGCCCGAGCCGCAGCCCGGCGCGGATGAGATTCGTCAGGGACGAAAACCAGGCCGGGACCGACGTCGCGGTTCAGGTCGAGGGCGGCGCCGAGCAGGATGCGACGCCAGTTGTGGAGCTGATCGCCCAGAGGCGAGGGAGGGAGGCCAAGGCTGCCGAATCGGAGGATCTGCTGGACCCGAACCACGTGCCCGAGACTGGCGCCACGGGCAAGCGGCCGCACGTGGACGGGATATCGGTGCCGTTCAGCATCAAGAAAGAGGCTGACACCGCGAGCATGCTCACGTTGACATCTACGGTCGATCCCTCGGGCCCCGCGAGCCCCGGACCCTCTAGTCGGCCGATGAGCATGGAGGTACCTGATATCGAGAAGAGGATTGCCCAGGAGCCTGGCAAGGGCGAGGGCCATGATGTCGGATACTTTTCCCAGAGCAAGACCGACAAGTGTGCACTTCCAGGCACTGGGAAGGACGCCGCCAGGAAAGAGCCTGAGTCGCCCGCAGGGCCCGAGGATGCTGATGATGTTACCCCAAACGCCAATGCCACCAGCGGCATCTCGGGAGCTACTCTCGATGTTCCCACACCCTTGTCTCCCGGCATCTACGAGACACCCCTCTCATCGCCTCGGCCGACCCTGGATAGATTCATCACGGCAGATGAGGGGCCACCCAAAGCGACATCGATCGCGAACGCATAGCTAGTACCCATCCCGCTATTCTTACCCACACTTTACCCCGTTCCCTTTGTCTCAATAATTTGCAGTAAACACCATCCGCTTCCTTACCATTTTCAGTCAGCCTTACCTTTCGTTCTGCCCGAGACATGTCTCTCCAGTTTTGATTCTACCTCCTAGTCCTGTGCCCAGGAAGCGCAAGGGCGCCAAGTTTGGAATATTGCCTACCCAAGTCTACACGAGAGTCTTTTTATACGCGCATTTGTTCATACATAGATTCGTTCCCCGGTATAATACATGATATCCAGCTGAGCCGCGCCAACCAGACAGACTCTGCCGTGACTCCTAGAAGAAATACAATCCTTAGGTGGCCTTTAAGCTGTTGTGTGGTCACCGTGTATATCCAGCCTTTGCCTTGGCGACAAGAACCCCTTGCGCGCGGCCAGCTAGCCATCAATCATTCATGGATGTCATAGCGAAGCGATACAAGTAGGGCAGAGCAGCAGGAGGCTGGTCCAGGCCCGTCAGTTCTAGGCTAGTCGCAGCCCACCGATCCCCTTTTCACTATTCCTCACATAGGAACCTCAGTCAAGCCCATTCTCGGCCTTCCACCTGTCCAGGTATAGCTGAGGACTCTTGGGGCCGGCGCGGTCGCGATACTGCCCAAATCCGTTTATGGGCTCCATCTTCTTTGTGACAAAGGGGGTGAGCTATTTGAGTGACGCGACGGAGCTTGTTAGTTTGCTGTCTGTAGACTCGGGCTTGGGGTTAAAGACCCCCGCGCAAGGAAGGAGAGAACCACGGGACAGCAACGAACCTTCGTCTCTGCCAGGTTTTTCGGTACCACATATGTCCTGACTTTCCTCCAATCGATCTTGTATGTGCCCCATTTGGTGTGACTGCCCATAGACCCAGAGCCTGTACCCTTGTAGAAGCCCTTCTTGATGTCCTTGGTGGTCAATTGCAGCTTGCGATAGACGCCCTGGAGGGCCTTGGACGGCTGCATCGCGAATGGTGATCGGCGGTCGGCGAGGGGAAATGGGTCGTGTATGTATGCGGATTTTCACTCCCAGTCGGCCTCTGGGGCTCGGTTTACATGCGCCTGAGGGAGTGGTGACGGGAGTGCTGTATTTTCTCTATTGGTCCTGGCTTCCGCGGCGAGGGTATTCACAGCTTAGAAAGTTCGCTGCTAGCAACAGGGGTGTCAATTCGCGGCATCGAATTGGGCGCTGCCCGGAAGGACCTCGCAGCAACATTGTACCCCACCACTACTAAAAGTCAGGATCCACTAAAAAAAAAACATGTCCACCGCCTTCATCCCACTCAGGCAGAAAAAAAATAGCTACCACGATATCTCAGCCTTGCCTGTCACCGTTGGCGAAGAAGGAAAGAGGAAGCAACATCAGGGGAAGAAAGGTTTCTGAACTGGACGCTGCCGAAAAACGACCCAACATGCCCGGTCGACAATCGCACGGCCGCCCGCTCCTTGGCAAGGCCAACGGCAAAGGCAACGGAAAGCAGCCCCAGAAGGGCAAGGCCGGTTCCCGCGCCGCGGCGCTCGACGCCTTCGCCCTCGCCGCCAAGGACATCCCGACCAAGTCCGGTATCAGAGGCACCCGGGCCCGCGACCTGGACTTTGAGCCCAACCAGAGAAAACGGCCGCGAGGCGGAGGCGACAGGGACGAAGGCGATGGCGACGACGACGACGGTGACGATGATGACGACGACGACGACAACGCCCGCCCGAGGAATAAGCGGGCAAGGAACGGCGGGGACGATGACGACGAGTTCGGCAGCGACAGCGACGGCAACGAGTGGCGCATAGGGGTCGATGAGGACGACGACTCGGAGCTCGACAGCGACGAGGCGTTTGGAGAGAGTGACGAGGAAAGGTTCGACGGTTTCACATTCAGGGGCAGTAGCTCCAGCAAGAAACAAGTCAAGAAAAAGAGCCGCAAGGCGGAGAACAGCGACGACGATGAGGAAGAGGAGGACGAGGAGGATAACGATGACGACGGATCATCGCTGGGGGAGGACGCTATAGACTTGGCGCAGGCATTAGACCAGGTTTCCGACGACGACGACGACGACGACGACGACGACGAAGGCTCCGCGGACAATACAGAGTCGGGATCGGAAGACGACGGCGACGACTCCAGCCAGGAGTCCTCCCTATCAGATGACGACCTGGATGTGGACGATGGCGACCCATCAAAGTTGGACGTGCTACAAAGCCTCGCTGCCGGTTTCGCGGGCAACGGTGACGACAATGATACCCCGATGGCCAACACCAAGACGAAGGTCGAGCTGAAGGATCTGGCACTGTTTGGGGTCAAAGATTCGAACATCAAGAAGTCGCTCAAGCTCATGAACAAGGAGGAGAAAGCGGCAGCCAAGCCTGGCACCTCGCAGAAGCTGGACGTGCCGCTGGCCAGGAGGCAGCAGGACAAGCTCCTGCGAACCGCCGCGGCGGAAAAGGCCAACAAGACGCTAGATAGGTGGCAGGATACGGTCAAGCACAACCGTCGCGCGGAGCATCTCGTCTTCCCGCTTCCAGACACCCTGCACGATGCCGGTCTCGACAAGGGCGAGCTGGCACCTCTGGACGGCAAGAGCGCCGGCAACGAGCTGGAACAAACAATCATATCCATTATGGAGGAGAGCGGTCTCGGCCCCAGCTCGAAGCCCAAGGGAGGAGAGGATGGCGAGGGCGGCGAGGGCGAGTCGGGAGTGTCGCGCGAGGAAATGCAGGAGATTTGGGCTCGGAGGCGCCGGGAGCGGGAGGAAAAGTCACGCGAGCAGGCGCGCGCGGCTCGCATCAAAAAGATCAAGAGCAAGGCCTACCGCCGCGTCCACCGCCGGGAGCGCCAGAAGCTTGAGGCCGAGATGGACGAGGAGGGCGGCGCCGCCGACTCGGAGGAGGAGCGCGAGGCCCAGCACCAACAGCGGGCGCTCGAGCGCGTGGGCGCAAAGCACCGTGACAGCAAGTGGGCGAAATCGGCTAAGAGGGCAGGTCTCGCCGCCTGGGACGAGGGCGTCCGCACCGGCCTCGCCGAGATGGCCCGCCGCGACGAGGAGCTGCGCCGGCGTGTCGAGGGCAAGGCTGTGGGAGGACGGGCCGATGGCGGCGAAGACGACGACGACGACAGCGGCTCCGAGGCTGCGAGCGGGTCCGAAGATGAGCGCAACGAGCGTAGACGGCTTCTACAGGAGTTGGAGCAGGCTGAGGCCGAGCAGGACGGGCCCCATTCAAACCTGATGAAGATGAAGTTTATGCAACGCGCCGAGGCTGTGCGCAAGCAGGCCAACGATGCCCTTGTCGCCCAGATCCGCCGGGAACTAAATTCGGATGAGGAGGACGGAGACGAAGATGAGGAGGATGCCGGGGAGGTCGGGCGCAGGACCTATGGCGTGCCCGACGCAAGAGGGCCGAAAACGAACACCAGTGCCCCTCAGGCAGGCACTATACAAGCATTGAAATCGGCGCTGAAAAAGACTGGTGTCTCCGGGTCGGCGGCAGCAGCATCATCCTCTATTCCCCAGGGTGCTGAGGCCATTCCAGGCATTGCCGGAAGCTGGTCCAGGCCTGGTGCCGTTCGGAAAGCGGACGGAGGATCGTCCAAGGGCAAGAAGGGATCAGGGGTTGGCAAGGACGATCCCACCATCGACCTCTCCAACAGCCTCGTTTCGGGCGCCGCCAAGGCGTCCGAAAAGGCTGCCAGAAAGTCGCCGCCCCCACGCGCAAGGGGTGCCCAGGCCAGCGGTGGCGGCGGCGGCGGCGGCGGCGAGTCCGGGCCCGGGTCCGAGGACGACGTTGACGTGCACCTGCCGCTCCAGATCCGCGACAGGGAGCTTGCGGACCGCGCGTTCGCGGGCGACGACGTCGTGGGCGCCTTTGAGCGCGAGAAGGCGGCGGTCGAGTCCGAGGACGACGACAAGGTGGTGGACAACACCCTCCCCGGCTGGGGCAGCTGGGGCGGCGAGGGCGTCAGCAACCGCCAGCGGAAGAAGGGCAACAACGCCAAGTTCCTTGCCAAGATCGAGGGCGTCAAGAAGAAGGACCGCAAGGACGCCAAGCTCGAGCGCGTCATCATCAGCGAGAAGCGCGTCAGAAAGGTAGGCACTTTTGCTGGACACATGTCTTGTTGCCTTTTCCGCTTTGCATCAACTAACACTCGGACAAAAAAACACAGAACGACAAGTATCTCGCCGCTCAGTTGCCACACGTCTTCGAAAACAAGGACCAGTACGAGCGGTCGCTCCGCCTTCCTGTCGGGCCCGAGTGGACGACCAAGCAGACCTTTCAAGACGCCACCAAGCCCAAGATCCTCATAAAGCAGGGCATCATTGCGCCCATGGCGAAGCCCATGGCCAGGTGATCCCGGTCATGCAGCTGCTTGCTGAGCCATGATAATAGAACAGCCATGTTGCGGTGTCAATGAATTCGTTCAACATGTCCTATTGAAAAGGGGAAACAAAAAAGATACAACGCATGACTTGTCGGCAGCAAGCTACCGACAGCCAGCCGTAAATTCCTAGTAATACATACGAGAACTCGCCAGAAAATACAGATGGCAAAGATGACTTCGCGCCTTTGATGGTGTTCGGCTGGCACCCCATTTCCACCTTGAGGTGCCCATAACACAGGCAGAGCGGATGCACCACATCCCCCAACACCCCCACGACGAAAAAGAAACGCCAGGAATGATAACGAGAAAACCAAAATGTTTGAAAGAATCAAAATGGACAACGCATCAAAACCTGAAACCCTCCAAGCCCCCGTGTTTTTCTACACTCCTAATGTTTTCGGGTTATGATAATCGACGCAAGAAAATGTTGCGTGTGACGATGAACATGTGTGGTATCGGGGCAACAACGCCAGGCAGTAAGAGGACGCAAGGAAAGCAAATGGTGGTGATGCGCAATCGGCATGAAAATAAATCCAGAAGAAAAAAAAGTACAGCGTTACAAAGGGAAACACAAAAGGAAAATAGCGCCGCACTCAATTAGCGTATTGTTACACTAGTGTGGTTTCCCTCCCTTTTAAGGGAGCCACTACAAAACGTAATTGCATATGGTAGTTATTGACCTCGGTCACGTCCGAAAGTCTTGATGCGAAACTGTGTTCAAGTTGAGAATCGTACTCTCTGAAGCGTGCAGATGAGGTCAACCGCCAGTCGGACGCTGTGGTAGGTCCCACTAGCCGGAAGAACCAACAATGCTGGAAATCGCCTTATGGAAGCTGGGCGCGCCGTCCAGGCCATTCGTCGGGCTTGCGTAAAAGGCGAGCGCAATGATGATGTAGAGACCGAGAAGCATGGCGCCCTCGAGATAGTTGGATTTACCGTCGTTCACTTTAAGAACCATTAGCCGCTGGTCCAATTTCATCTTTCTGTAGACATGTGAGAGATATGTGGGTTTCATACCAGTGAAAGTGACGACAAGGACCGAGAGCGCAAAAGCAACAGTCTGGAACGTCTCGAAACGCAGAGTCATGGGCTGGTCGAGAACGAGCCAGCCCGTGATAACAAGGGCCGGCGTCACCAGGAGTGCGATCTGGATGCTCGAACCGATCTGTAGTTGACAAAGTCAGCATTCCAGCACTGAACACAGGGTTAGTTGGAGGGGGGAATCCACTAACAGCCACACCCAGAGCAAGGTCCATCTTGTTGCGGACCGCGACCACACATGCCGTGACATGCTCAGCAGCATTGCCCACGATGGGGATTAGGATCAGACCGATAAAGGCGCGGCTAAGGACACCCGTCTCGACAATGGGCTCAATGCTCTCAACAAGATAGTCGGCGCAGAACGAGATGACGACAGTGGTACCGATCAGAACCAGAGCAGCGGCCCACCAGAGCATGTGCTCCTCCTCTTCGCCCTCAACGTTGGACTCTCCACTCTGGGATTCCTCGTCCGACACGACAGTGCTGGTAGTGCTGTTGATGCCGTTGGGGCTGGCTGAGCCGTTGACACCGTTGACGCGCTGTGTCTCCGCTTTGGAAATGAACAGGTTCTTGTGCGTGTTGAGCTGGAACCACAGGTAGAGGCAGTATAGCATTAGAAGAATGATAGATGTTCCGCGCGAGAGAATGAGAATCGACGCTTCGCTCTCTTTCCGATCCGTATTGTTGCCATCGAGCACACCGTAAAGCTATTAGTTGGAGCAGACGAGTTAGCTACAAGTAAACCACAAGGCGTTGTTTGCCTGCTGATCAACGAGCTTTGGGGGCCCGGCAATAGATATATAGACACTTACGGTTGCGGGGATGATCATGGATGCAGCAGACAGGGTCATCAGAGAGGAGGTGGTCTGGGCTGTTCCTGATGAGAACTCTTGCTCCGTGCCCTCGCCGTCGGATGATCGCATGTTGGCGACGCCGCCGAGGAGGAAACACATTCCCATGACCAGAAGGAGATTCGACAGAATGGATCCCAACATAGAGGCCTGCACGACCTCGATCTGGCCTTGCCTGAGAGCAACAACGCTGACCTGCAATGAACAAAGCGCCAGGTGTGTCAGCCGGGAGGATTTCAGTCATGTCACTTCAGAGGCTAGGGGATAGAAGCCACACTCACAATCAACTCGACAGCGTTTCCGAAGGTTGCATTCACAAGACCCCCAACCGTCTCGCCCAGCTTAACAGATATCTCTTCGGTCGCGAAAGAGAGAATGGCAGCCAATGGGATGATGGCAAGGAAATTCAGCGTGAAGACCCATGTTGGGGACCAGCCCAGGATGCCGGCCGCCAGTCCGACAGGGACGAAGAAGATTAGAATATTAACAGGGCCTGTAATGATGACGTTTAGTTAGCGGGCCGCGGGTAGAATTTGAAGCAGTTTCTGGTTGCCGGTTGGCCGCAACGGAGGAGGGGAAATTCGCCATGCAAGGCAGGCTCCCACAGAAAAGGCGACAAGCTCGACATGTTGACAGGATGACTGGGCATCCCCAAGCTGCGCCTGTCGAATGGGTGGTGTTCAAGGCTATGACATGGAGGGCTCGGGCCATCTCGATCAAAGGCCTTGGGGGTTGGGGGCCAGAGCAAGAATCAAGGGGGATACGTATTGTGCATGCCGGCTCCAGGCACTCGGAAGGCAAAAGAACGTACTGCTTAGAAGCGATATCTTTATGACGTGCCAGGTGTTGGCGGCTGCCCTGACGAGTATCCTCTCGTCGCTGTCTCCGGGGGTGCTGTTGACATCGAACAGAAACTTCACCCATCCGGACCGGCTCGGTTCGGAGCGGCGACCGGGGATGAGTGGAGTGTGCTCGCCGGGTCCACTCTCGGAGTCGTGGTTGTGGTTGTGGTGATTGTGGTGGTGGTGGCCGGGAGCGGCACTGCCTCCCCGTAGCCAGCCTGACATCTGGCGGACCTGTTTGGCGAAGGATACAGCAGCTAGTCCGCCGGGCGCCGAGTTGGCATCCGTAAAGTTAGCATTCAGTGGCGACTGGCTTTGTTGATTCGAAAGGCCTCGAGATTTCCAGGACGCCCACGCCCACGGGCTGGGAGCGGACGATGAATGCATGACAACAACACCACGAGACCGCTATGTCTTGGAGGGAGGGGGGTCTGGGGGTCTATTATGGGGTGTGCCCTCTGCGTCGCAGTCGCACGACAGGCTGATGTTGCAGTGGTGGTAGTGGGCGGTGTTGGAGCTAATGCAAAAGCAGAACAGCCAATTCTGGGCAGCCAATTGGCAAACCAGGCCGCACGCGGGGAAGTAGAAAAAAGGGAGGAGCACACATATAATAGATGGTGCGGAGTGGGGGCTTCAAGGAGGGTGAGAGCCAACATAAGAAAAGCATCAATGGAAGATGGGAAAGTGCAGAAATAAGGGACTGGAGAAGGTTGGCTTTCTCCGCATCCGCAACCTTAGTCCGGCAGTGCGGGCCTGGCGGAAGGGGGTGTGACAGGCAAAAAGACAAATGCTGATGTTGTCACGGACGAAGAAAAAAAAAGGCTGAGGAGGCACGGAAACGTTGACTTACCCACCATGATCACCGGGCGTGGGCGCACACGGCCGTTGGACGAGCTGGTCCTGGAGAGCCGGGCGGCAGAGAAGGGACGAGGTGGAAGCGAAGCGTCGACTCGGATGGCCTTGGGTTGCTGGCTGTTGAGTCTCGGGGCGTGAACCAGACTGGACGTGAAGGGACGATCGCGGAGGCGCAGAGACGTGTATTGATGTGTGCCTACTGCTTTTGGTGTCGCGCACGGCGCATGGGGCTTGACCGTTTACCCTCGATTATTTTGCCTTTTGCGGTAGGGAGAGACAAGGCGAACTGCCGCGCGCAGCGAGGTGCCCGACAGGCAGGCAGGCAGACAGGCAGGAGGCGGGTAGCAGGTACCTTACTCAAGTCAGAGAAGAGGCGACGAGGCGTGGGGGCCCTGCGACAAAACAAAAAGGCGTTCTTGGGCGAGAGGGGCGAATGGCTTGGTTCTTGTGCGTGTTTTGGACTTGGCAGATGGCGATGACGCCCTGGAGTCGGCTGGGCAATAATTGGCACACGGACAGGAAAACAGGCGGTTCCAGAATTGAGGCTGGACAAGAAAGAAAGGTTGACTGGATTGCCAAGATGATCGAGGCACTGAATGGGACGCCGACAGGACACCTGTGCAGTCCACGTCCACCTGGACAAGTTTGAGGTAGTAGCAACCGAACGTGTGGTGATTGACTATTGCCCCGGTCGAAGTCGAGCTTTCCCAGTCTGGCTGGAGCTCTCCTAGCTCTCTCTGAGCGATATGGCCGACCAATCCCAGCCTGGATCGACCTATGAGGTAATTCGGGTCCCAACGCTGTGGTGTGGGTGGGTGTTTGCTCTTGGCAGGATGCAAAAGTGCAAAAGCCAGTTTGGGCAAACGCGAGCCCGAGTAATCCGACGGCACCAAAGGACAAGGAAAAGACGACAGAGAAAGTTCGGGCCAAGCGGTGGCTGTGTATGTAAGAGAGAGTGTGAGAAGTTGCTTGGACTCCAACGAAGAAACGGAGGTAAAAGGGAACAAAACGAGATTGAATCGTGAGACGAGCAGCAAAATTCCCCTTTTTCCTCCCGCCCTCCCCTCGTACGGGGACACTGCAACCTGCCTCCTCCTCTTCCTCCCCTTGTTTGTTCCATGTTTTGAGCCAGCAACCCTCTGCAGCCCGAACCGGGTCCCCGCATTCCAACTTCCCTGCTGTCAAGGGACAACGAGCGATGCGCGCGGCACATACCTGCACAGTACTCTCGCTGCAATTTTCAATTTTCCATTGTTTTTACCCGCCCATGCTACCCTTCTGGGACCGGCGCGTGCCAAGCGTGGCTTTGCAGGGCCTGGGCGACACCGCTCTGTTCTTGGCGCGACGGCCTCCCATCACGACAGCAGAGCACCAGTCAAGCCCCGTCGCTAACGTCGCTAACGTCGCTTGCCCATCAGGGAAGTCGGGCCCCAGATTCCATGCATCCTTGAACTGGGCCACATGTCTGCTCTCATCTCTGCGCGTGCTATTTATTGCTTGCCTCGATAGTCGGCCCACCGAGGAGAGGTACCGGTACCTACCAACTGAGACGGGCGCATGTCGCAAATCAGAGACCATCAACTACCGAGCAACGCGGTCATGATAATCGACTGTTGCCCCGGGCGGGAAAAGTGCCGCTTCAAAAATGACTGATCCCAACCCTCCCCTTTCCGGTCGAGCCAATCCATGACACGTGCTATTTTTCCGGCAGGCGAGCATGGAAGGTAGCAATTGGGTTCTGAGTCTCTTTCTTTCTTTCCTCTTTCCATGATGCTTTTCCCCAGGGTGTCCCTTGAATTCCCTCAACTTGGCGCCTCAACCGAAATCCCCTCGGCTCCCTTTCCATTCCCACACCGTAACTTTCTTCTCCCTTTTGCCCATCAAATATCGGAACAGCTTCGCCCGTTCGTTGCTGGTATTGGCATTTGGCACACCGATTCTCTCATCCTCCCTCCAAGCCATTGGATGGATCGGCCATGTGGATTTCCCACGCGCCAAGCGTGACGCCGGCCAAGAAAACCCACCCCGTTGCTGTCATGACAGATATCCATACGGCAGTTGGGGTACCACGAGATCGGGGCAAACCTGGCGGCGAGCCTACTAAAAAAAAAAAAAAAAAAGTAACAGACGGGAAATGTGAGGGAGGTCAAACCGAAGCGATGGCATATCGTGCGAGAGATTGTGGCAGTGCAGCGCTTCCGGGCGCTAGGATCAATGTTGCTGCGCATCAAGCTCTGTAGTACCATTCCTTGCCAAGACGTTTGTTTTAGCGGTCATTTTCGAGTTACGCCCTCCACATTCCATGTGGAGAGCTGCGACCTTTCGCGATGCACTGACAGGGATCTTTTAGGTTGATGGTGCACTGTTGCTACCCCTGTCCAAGGTACCCACGTGCCCCACCCAACCTCCGAGCTCCCCTTGAAACTTGTTTCCGCAGCGGGAGAGAGTAAAGAGGTTGCGGCGCTTTTGCCATGATTCTTTTTTTTTTTTCTGTTTTTCTTCCTTGCCTCATACGATGAAACCAATCTCCCTAGCGCCACCAACAAACCCTAGCGCAAAAGGGAGAGAGAGAGTGGCGCATCTTGAAACTCGCGCTCGCGCGCGCCACTGATGAAATAGAAAGATGGAGATCAAGGGAAAAGGGGACGGACGAAGCGAGATCTACCCGGGAGCCCTAGAAAATAGGGTGGCAGTGCTCGCCCCAAGATCGGCCACCAAGGAAACAAAACGTGATGATGCGCAACCGGTCCTGATCTTGTGGGCACCCGTGGACTTTTCTTCTTCTCTTCCTGCAACCCGCCCGGGCGGACTCTCTCGCTCAACTCGAAAAGGCTCCCCGCTGAGACGGACGGACAAGCAAACGGTGCGTTGCGCCCGTCTGTCTTGGCAACAAGCAGAGAGGAAGAAAAAACCTTGGTTGCCCCCCCGACCCGATAACAACCACCACCATCGCCACTCGACTCGCGTGCAAGAGACCCCCAAATCAACACCCCCTGCATGCCAACTCCACTGTCATAGCGCGATACCGCATCGGTGTTGTGCTAGGCATTGGCTCAACCGATGGTCTGTCTCCATCCTCGCCGACATTCGACCTGATTACCTTTGGATCATCCCTCCCCGCCCGCTTTTCCCTCTTCCGACGCCGTCTCTGTCCACCCGAGCCGGGCTGTGTGCGTTTCTTCTGATCGGCTGGTTCAGGTTCCAAGAACTGGGGCGTTTCTCAGGGGGTCGGACTATCAGAGTGAGCTGTCTCAGGGGGGGAGTCACGGCCGACGACAAAGCGCCGCCGCCCGGGTGAAATGAATTACACAGTAACTTCCTCACCGGCCCGAGAGGCCGCCGCCTCGTCCTCATCTATTTCCCGCACCCGAGGCGGGAGAGATTGTATTACCCCCACGCGCATGCATCATGAGTTGTTCGTCTAGGTCGTCTTGACACTGCCTCCTTGCTATCTATCCCGCGCGTGTCATACATTAGGAGTGAAAAAAAAGTGTCTCACCCACTACCCGGGCAATGTCATCTCTCAACCAATTCTTCATCCCGTCAATCCAGGTCAGATCCCGGGGACTGCGCCACAGTCCGAACGCTTTCCCCAAAAGTTTACAACCCACCAAGAGCTATCGTTGAGTTTGCACCATCAACAGTCAGCATATGCAGAGCGCTTTGTAAAATGGGAGGGGTGGTAGGTGGAGGACTCGATAGGCAGACAGCAGGCGCATAGCAAGCAAGCTGCGTCGGAGCACAAGTCTGACTTACCGGCAGAGTACGCCATGTACCATGTCCTCGACGCACCGCCGTCGAGATGCGTAGCGTCGAAGCTGTTGGCGGAAAAGAAGCCAAATGCCCTCTTAGCATCGATTTGGGCCAGATTACCAATCAAGATGCCCCTCCAACCACCAGGCACCGAGTCGATGCGTCCTTTGCTAAAGTACGCCTTCCACTCCTCGTCCACAAACTTAGTGCTTCGGCAGAGCGGCGAGAACGGGAGCAGGGGGATCATGTGGATGCCCTGTATGTACTCGATGTTGTTCCCAAAGAAGGTCGTGTGGTCGATCTTGTTCTCAAACAGGATCCCCGCCACCTTGTTGCCGATGAAATTTGCCGGCTGCACCTTGTTGTCGTTCGTGTACAGGTAGTAGTACTTCAAGGACCGCGCAAGAGTCGCAAGCTGTAGGTTGCCTCTGATGCCCCCCCAAACAAGCAGTCAGTCAATCAGTCGTCAGCCGACCATCTCTCACAAACATGCACTGCCACGGATGACGACGCAGCCAGACTCACCTCGCCTCCATGTTACGGTCCCCGATGGCAGATCCCCACATCTTGATGGCGTATGCAGACATGGCATCCTCGGAGCTGGATTCCTGGTCCTGCAAGCGCGCGAGCCCGGGGCCGTCAGCAACGTCGTTCCCACTCCCGGGCCATCACCCGCATCCGCATTGCCCGTCCGCGCGTGTCATGGGGCTGTGACCTACGTTTCCGTCCAGTGTATCGTAAAGACCGTGGGCCCAGCTATGGCCGTGGAACCAGTCAAAGTTGCGATAGACCGGGAAGAACTTATCTCTGGAGCTCGGGTTCGCGTAGTCACGCACTAGCGTGTTGACGAAGTCACGGTTCTTAGCGCCCCATGCGCTGTCAAGCTTGGCGATGACGGCCGCCGTATACACAAAGTAGCCGTAGTGGAAGTGGTGGTCGTTGTAGTACGTGTTGCCAAAGTCCATACCCGCGTTTCCCGTCACGTACGAGGCGGACGAAACCACGCCGCCCCATGCCGACTCGTAGAAGAGAGGAAATTTCTGCCTGTTCTCGGCAAACCGCGCGTACGCGTCCTTGAGCTTCTTAAGTCCGGTCTGAGCAAGCTGTTTGTCACCCAGCATGTCGTTGACGGCGACCACGATCGTGGCGAACTTGGCGAGTGCCTGCGAAACAAGAATACCCCTCGTGTGTTAGCCACCCGGTACCGCCTTTCGGACTCGGCAGTCAGCTTGACAGAGGAATAGACGTCTTACCTTCCCGCTGAAGTACATGGAGTCGAGGTTTGACTGTGCCGACATGTCCTGGGCGATCTCACTTCGAGCGACAGGGAGAATCGCTGCCTTGGCCTTAGAAGAGATAGCGAGAGCGCCCTTTCCTGGAAGCCACGGGAGGAAGCCCATGTTAGTGGGCAGGCTCTTCTCCTCCATGGTCCATGAGTCCCCCAGCACGCCCGTCCCGACCCCCTTTGTTGTGGTTTGAAGTCGTAGCGAAGTGACGCCCTTTGCCGTCGCGCTGCTGAATGAATCCACCATGTGCGGCAATGCGAACATGAGCAGTGGCGACGAGGTCAAGCCCTGTTTCTTGAACTTGAGCGTATATGACCCTATCGTGTCCTTGACTGTGCCGGACAACTCGGTCGAGGTGGCATAGGCACCGCAGGCTTGGTCGTAGATGGCCTCCCTGCGGCCGGGGTCTTTGGCGATCTGGATCGTGCCGTGGAAGGCGTTCCTCGATACCGCCATCTCGCCGTTGCGAATCTGGAGATCCAGGGGAGAGCCGGCCGTGTTTCTGGCGTACAACAGCCACGTGACACCGTTCTCGAGAATTATCTTGAACTTGACAACCCCAGGCTTTGGCGCCGTCAGAGCACGAGTAATGGTCCTGAAATGTACGCCAGTGCCTATCACGGGTGTAGCGCCTTGGTAGATTCCGGTGATGAAGGCAGAGCCCTGAACCAAAGGGATCCGAACCGAGGGCAGCGCCCGGCTGTTAGACCGCAGCTCTGCCATGGCGCTGAATGCCGTCATCTCTGCAATTGTCAAGGCTGTTGTTGAACCTAGATTGGCGGCCGAGAGGATGATGGACTCGATGTGAATGGGGTTGATGAAGAACTTGGAGGCTCCGGTTATGGGCTCCTTTGGCCCGAATACCCTCTGTGAGGCATCGATATGCGAGATCGACAAGCCCCAGCTTTTAGAAACCCCTTCTCCCTTGACCCAGTGAACAGCATAGGGGTGGAGGTAGGCCGGGCTCCTGAGACCTCCAAGGTAGAGGTTACCGTAGAACTTGTTGGTGGCTAGCGGTGTTGGTGAGGCAATGCCAGTTCGTGGCACCGGGTGATCCTGACGCCGCTTGAAATATGCAGGTGGCGCCGTGCCACCAGAGATGGGCTGAGCAAAGATGTTTGACGACACCGCCCGTTCAGCAGCGAATGGCATCACAGGGCTGAACCCAGGTTCGGATCCGGCATTTCCGAACTGGGGCTCAGGGTCAATGGATAGTGATCCAAGGTCCGGCTGGCTCTCAGGGGCCTCAGACTCTGGCTCAGGTCTAGATCCAACCCGATTCGCGGGCCGTTGTAAGGACTGGTTGTTGAAGAGCGAGAAGACCATGGTGGGCCCTGTTGTTAGTACGGGAGGCAGAAGGCGAGGCTGTGTGGCTTGACCCGTGGTGTTAAGAGTAGTGATAACGGTGCCAGACGCTCCAGGGGGAGGCCCAGGGGTTGGGTTGAGCGCGATCTGCTCGATTCCGGCCTCGACGAGCCGCGTTATCACAGCAACTGTGGATGTCGGCAGGTAGGTGTCGACAGAGCTGCTCTTAGTGCTCTCACCGGACGTTGTGATATGAGCGGGTAAACCTGTTACTAGGGGCTGTGCTGAAGGAGCTATGCTGGAGAGCAAGTCGGCCGGGTCGGGGCCTGTGTGTTCAGGGGCAGTGCCTCGCGGCGCGTGTCGATGTCGGTGGCCGCGGTGGTTAAGAACCGGTTCAGCCGAGCAGCTAGCTGCCTGCAGCAAAATTAGCCCGATGTACCAAAGCATCTTGTCAGTATCACGAAGCCCGAGTGTGTAGGGGTACACAAAACAGCAGCATCAAATTTGGGAGCGTGGGATAAGAGGCTGCTTTGAGGCTTAGGAGGCTCAAACTTAAAGGCACGCTGGACAACGAAAAAAGGGGGCAAAGTCTCCCGAAAAGCAGTGAGACCGCGCACCCCATAGAGCGCCTTGGGGACAGACATGGCCGCGAAGGGCTGATAGATATATTGAGGGGGTCGCCTGGTGAGGGCGCTAAATCATGCCCAACGACGGGCTAGCATGAAGCGGCAGCTATCCAGGCCGAAAGTTTCGTCGCCACCAACTCGCTCGAGCCGTGGGATCCATGGTTGGGAGGGGAACGGCGGTGGTAGGGGTGGAGAGATGGCAATACCTGTTGAATCGTGGAATGAAGAGGCTCCAAGACAGAGTCAAGCCAAGCAGGGCTAGGCGACTAGAAACTAGAGGACGGGAGGGATGCCAAGGAGGGCTACAAGGAGCGAGACTGGTAGGGGCTGCAAAGGAATGCGATCAAAATTATACCGAGTAAGAACAACGGGATTCTTTAGGGCGACAGGTATTAGAATGAAGATCCAGGTGGCTCTGGTGACGGCCAAAGTGGGAGTGTCTGAGGGCAGGAGATGGGTTGATGTTCAGGTCTATGTTGTGGGAATTGGGAATTCCTCCAGCCCGAATTCGCTGTCCCGGGCCAAGCACAGCAGAAGGACTGTGTGACAGATCAGCGGTCAATTCGACTCGGGGGCAAGAGCGGCCGACGTGGTTGTCAACTCCGCGACGAGAAGGAAGCGACAGCGGGCTTTCCACTTTGGGAGTGGCGTTGGTTCCGTGACAACGAGACATAGAAGGGACACCGTCGCTGAGGGCAGGGGAATAGGCTGCGTTTTTTTTTTTTTTTTTGCAAAGTCGCGAGGGCGATTGCTTCTAATTCCCGAGAGCAGCGCGTATTCGTCGCCGTGCAGAAAGAATGACTTCCAGCCAAACTGTTCGGATTCGAGTATTGGGTTCTAAAATCGACTGGAGACAGGCTCTGGTTCCGACGACACCCACGAGCGGTGACGAAATAAGGCTTGGAAGCCCCACACAGGGGGACGTAATCCTCAACAGACCCAACCGGGATCTAGTGTTGTAATTTGACGCCCAGGGCCGGCCATTTAGAGTTTTTTTTTTCCCTTTCATTTTATTTTCTCTGTATGGAACACAGTCCCGGAAACCGAATTGCGTGTGACATGTCTCTGTGGGTGTGGAAACCTGCAAGATAAATATCATAGGGAGATGAGATTTGTGCCAGCACAAGCCTAGGCAGGGAGTGACACGACACACCAGGATGCAGGGAAAGGTTGATATAAAAACAACTGCAAGACATGTCTCCGCTAAGCTGATATATTCTAGCCCTGTAGCTAGCAATCTGTTTGCACCGAATCGCCTTCTCCCTCAACACGATTTCAACGGTCAAGCGCGCGACATGGAACGCCCTTGTAGATTCGTCCCATGTTCTGCTTTCCGCTGCCGTCGCTTCCGCTCCAGGCCTGTGAGAAGCTTGGGAACCGCACTGTCGGCAACTGCGACGGTGGAGGGGCCGCCATGTCTGTGATGAAGCCCATCGCCCGGATAAGTGTTTTTGACACGGCGCTTCTTTTCGAGGCCACTAACGAACTGCGGGACCGCGGGTGGGCGCAAGTGATGAATAGCACCATGGCCTTTGCCTTCGGAAGCCTTGTTGACGGCCTCGCGGGTCGAAGGCTCTTTGGAGACACTGTCGCTAGCTTTTTCCGGCCTCTTCTTCTTTTTAGACTGCAGTTCGTCCTTCTCGGCCTTGCGGCGACAGTGGCGCAGCACACGTTCGTCCAGAACCCACGGGCGACTCAGCGTCTCGTCGTGGAGCTTCACCACCTCCTTCCAGAAGTCGACTTCATGCTGCGTTGAAAGGTGTTTGACCTTTTCGATGTTTATCTGCAGCCGGGTCTCGTATCTCGTGCGGTACAATTTGAGGCCGCCTCGGATCTCCACGACCTGGCCCACGTCGAGGTCGAATGGGCTTTGCTGCTGCTGCTGTTGCTGCCGCCGCTGCTGTGCAACAAGATCCGGCGAGTGGGCGTCGAGGGATATATTCTTCGGCTGCTTGGCCGCTAGTTGGGCGATGCACTCAACGTTGATGCCGCTACTGTCGTCGACCGTGTAGACACGTTTGATGGTGGACTCGTTGACGGTGTATTCGTCGACGGCGACGACGACGCCGGCTATGCGCACCCACTTTATGGGGTGGTTGTTGTAGAAAAACACATCCTGGCCCTCAAATCCGGGAGGGCTCCAGAGCTTCGCGATGTCCGAGGTGCGCAGGCGGCACCATGCGGTTATGGTGGGGGACTTGTGGAAGCAGTACTGGGGGTAGATCTCATGCGCCGGAGTAATTGTCATGGCATGGCTGTTGACAGGGAAATGGCTTCATACCAAGCGGTAGTCAGAGAGGACAGGGGCTCATATGGCTTGCTGTGCGGCCGCTCCCGTTTCTCCGATGAGGTTGCAAATGTTGGTAGGTGATTTTCGGAATGGACAATGTGACGCGTGCAGGGCAAAAAAGGAGGGGAATTGACGCGCGCTCAGCTGACTGGAAGCCTAATCGTTCACCCCGCAGTCAGCGACCAAAGGCTGTTGCTCGGCAACAGTCGGCTAGCCTGGTACGCAAATGCCTTGGGTGAGGAATCCGACCAGCAATCAGCTACCTGCTAGAAAACGTCAACCCTCTTAGAATTCACCGACATCAACTCCATGAATTCTCGAGAGCCTTGTCAATTTGGTGCCGAGCCGGTCCCGAGAAATAAGACACTAGTTGGTGCACGAGAAAGTGATGGATGAAGTAACTGATCCAGTTCAATCTAGCCTGGTACCAAATTCCTTAGATATTGTGACAAGTGAAGCATCCTCGCAGCCCCTCATGAGAAAACAGAAAACCCAAGGCGAAACTCCGACCTCCATGTGGTATGAATCCTTCCGACTATAAAAAACAACGCTACAAGATCCAGAACGCCCTGCCACGCAATAATGTCCCGTAATAGTGTGCTTCAGAGCCTGGGCCCGTTCAGCGCTTAGCTCTCTTTGACCTAGTCGCCTTGGGGGCTGCTGCCTGCTTCTTCTCCTTGCGGGCGGCAGTTGCCTGGAAGGCCTCCTCAGGGGGTTCGTCCACGTCCAGGTCGGCGCGGCCCCGCTTCTTGCTGCGCTTGGGCTGGGCGCCGTACTTCTCGGCCAGGCGGTCTAGGAAGTCGGAGCCGCGGTCGGCCTGGCGCTTCGAGATGAGGGCGGCTAGGGCGCTCTCATCCGCCTCGCCCGACTTGCCTTTACCTTTGCCCTTGGCCTTGGCCGCCTTCCCCTTGCCGCCCGCTGCCTTGTCGCCGCTGTCGCCGCCCCCGAACAGCTTGTCGTGGACCCCAAGCTCCTTGGCGTAGTCCTCGGCCTCCTTCTGTTCCCTGCTCACCTTCTTGGCGCGCGCGCGCCGCACCGCCTTGGTCTCGTTGGCGTAGGCGTCGTATCTGGGGACGGTGCCGGCGGCGATGGCGGCGTCGATGATGGCGCGGAACCGGTCGTCGTCGGCGAGCGGGTCGCTGAGCATGACGACCTCGTAGACGTGCTCCATGTCGCCCTCGCCCTCCTCGTAGGCGACCATCAGGTCGTCGCGCTCCTCGTCTGAGCGCTTGTACGCGCTCGCGAACCGCTCGATGGCGTCGGACGAGATGGCGTCGCGGAACTGCTCGGCGAAGTAGTCGGACCAGCTGAAACCATCCGCGTCGACGATGGAGTCGGACGTCGAGCCTGTCTCGTCGTACCGCTTGCGCCGCGCCGGGTCCGACAGGATCGCGTTGGCGAAGGCGATGGACTGGAACTTGGCGTGCGCCTCGGCCTTCTTGTCGGCGGCTACCTTGTCCGGGTGATGCTTAAGCGCCGCTTTCCGGTAGGCCGCCTTGACCTGGTCGGCCGTGGCCGACCGCTCGAGGCCGAGCTCCTCGTACGGGTCGATCGCGGGAGGCTCGCCGACATCGAGCTCGTCGGAGGAGTCGGCCATGGTGTGTCTGTGGTTTTTGTTGTTGTTGTTGTTATGGCGGAAAGGTCGATGGCAAGAGTGGTAGTTCTGGTGGTTTGGTGGACGACGCGTCAATCACGTCTGGTCGCCAATGGGGTTGAGATATATTGACTCTAGCGCACGGCTTTACAAGTGGGTGCTGTGACGAAATTTAGAGCACCCACTGCCCACTGAATTCAGTGGCTGCAACGTGGGGAGTGGGGCTGGAGAGGTGAGAGTGCGCTGTGGGCCGGTTCCCGCAGTGGTCAATTCTCCTTATCGCATAATCTCAGCCGGGCCGCAAGCCCAACACCAAATATTCAAAGTTTATGTGATATTCTTGACCACTAACACTGGTCACCAGAAACACCTAAACCACCACCTCGAACCATCATGTCGCAAGAAACACCTAAACCACCACCTCGAACCATCATGTCGCAAGAAACACCTCGGGACCACCGTGCGCTGATGGAGCAGGCCCTTGGACAGGCACGCCTGTCGCCGCCCAAGCCTTCCAACTACAGGGTCGGCGCGGTGCTGGTGGAAGCGTCAACGGGCAGCGTCCTGGCTACAGGCTTCTCGCTCGAGCTGCCCGGCAACACCCACGCCGAGCAGTGCTGCTTCGCCAAGCTGGCCCAGCAGCACGGCGTCGCCGAGGAGGGCCTGGCCGGCACCCTCCAGCAGCAACAGCCGCTGCCGCGCCTGGCGCTCTACACGACCATGGAGCCCTGCTCGGAGCGCCTGAGCGGGAACCTGCCGTGCGTCCAGCGCATCCTCCGCCTGCGCGGGCTCATCGCCGAGATCTACGTCGGCGTCGTTGAGCCCAAGAAATTTGTGGCCAACAACACGGGCAGGCAGACGCTTGAGGGTGCGGGTATCAGGGTCATCCACGTCGGGGGGCTCGAGGATGACATATTGAGCGTGGCCACGGCCGGGCATGTTCCAGCGGAGACCCCGGCGACGACAAGCTCCAGGTAGCCGACTAGCGAGGAGTCTGTTGGCTTATGTAGTTTGTTGTCTAGCAACGCTACCCTGCGTGATACTCGAGTACAGAACTCCGTGAAGTTGAACTCCCGATCCCGATTGTCGATCCTTTCCTCTTCAGTTTCGCCATGCAACCCACCCACCATTTCTCTTGGAGGGGTTGATCTCTCGGCATTCTTAGCTCTCACAAAGGTAGAGGCATCTTGATACAACGGTCCCTTTCCTGGCAGCACTCGGACTCCACCCGGTTCGGCCTCGAAATGCCGGCGGTCCGGAGGATCTTCTTGAACGACTCGATCCCGCCGTCGAGCGCGCCGCCCTGGGCCCCCTTCCAGTCGCAGCCGACCTCCCCGCTGCGGCCTAGCGCGCCTTGGCTGTAGCCTAGTCCGACGCGGAGGTAGTTGGACGGCCGCTTGCCCTCCCGCGCGCGCTGCGCCTCCACGTCCGGGTCCGCGTCGTACTGCGCGTGGAGGTACTGCCCCGTCTCGCACATCTCCGTCTCGGCCGCCGAGCCGTCGTCGGCTCGGTATGACTGCACCCACTGTCGTTGTGGCGACGGCGTGTAAGTCAGAGAGGTCAGTGTCGGGAAGTGGGGGCGAGGAGAGAAGAGAGAGAAAGGCACTGCCACGCGTACACAATTGCTGTTGCCGGCAGCGCCCCCAAACGCCGTCGCGTTGAACGTCTGCCCGATGAGCTCCACGAGCCCGGAGAAGATGGAGAACTCGGTCCAGGCCCCCGAGTACCAGACCTTGAGCTCCTTCAACGCCAGCCCGTCGCCGCCGCCACCGCCCGATGCCGCCGGCCGCTGCGGCACCCACGTCAGCGTCAACAGCTGCTCGTCGCACCGCTGCCGGCTGTTGGCACACAGGAGCCTGAGGTCCGACGCGAGGATGCCGACCACGTCGGCCGCCCGGTCGCCCACGTGCACGGCCGGGCCCGACACGGCGACATGCGCCCGCGGCCGCGGCGCCAGCAGCGCGCCCCGCCTGCCGCCCTGGTGCGTCTGCGCCGGGGGCGGAGCTGCCAGCGCGACCTCGCTCCCGAGGAGCAGCAGAGGGGCGATCAGGAAGGATAGAGTCGCGGTCCGCATCGTGGGAGAAAAGGAAAAATTGGCGTGGCTGAGGCTTTGCAAGGGAAGAGGAAAGGGGGTGCGGTGGCGGGGACTGGAGGGGAAGCAGGCGGATGCCCTGTTGAGCCCCCCCTCAGGCGAGAGCGAGGCGGTATTACATCTACCTACATCGATGCCTGCTCGGCGGGAAGGCAGGAGGCTGGGGGGTTAGATGCCGCTAGGCACGCTGACCGCTTGGGCCGCGCCGATTTTCCTCAGCTGCCCGCTTCCTTTTCTTATTTTCCCCAATAAAATCACGAATACACAAGCTCGATTACTCGGCTTCATGCAGATATCGTATCAAGGGGGGCCGGGTCCTCCCTACCAACAGCGGTTGCCCGCATGCAAAGGAGTGAGGGGAAAAGCCGAGGGAGACCAACAGACCAGGGGGGCGGCGACAACGGCGAACCATAAAATTAAGGCTGATGATGGCAACCAGGCCCCGAAAGGAGCCGGCGAACCATCTGCAGGGACCGGCCATCCTCGGTTGGATGGAGGGGGCAGGGGTGTTTTCAGCAAATACCAAGAGAATAGCCGGATACCACCTGCTCCTCCAGGTGGATGCTCTAGCCATAATGATACTCAAACGGTGAACGGCAGAGGCCGGGCTCAAATCCGCGGCTGCAACCTCGTATCGCTCTATGTTCTTAGCTTGTGATTTACCCACTTATTGAAAGTCCTCCTACGCCCATTTCTAGCTACCTAGGGTATCGTTTCATGATGAAGTGAAAAGATACCCGAAACGCCCGCTGCCTTTCGTTTGCCCGCTTCCAAGGGGAACAGGTGCCATGCATATGGTGACCAAAATCCCGTCTTTGTGCCCCACGCGGCCGGTAACCCCTGTGTTATAAGCGCCGGTTGTTGAAAACACTCCATCTCTTGCTCTCTAGCTCTACTTCTTCAAATGCGGCGCCATATAAGGAAACCAAAACTAGAAAAAGAAAAAATCGAACCGCCCATACGTGACCTCTCGACAGGCACGGAGACGCAACACAACTGAAAACGGATAAGGGAAAAAACGGACGCCCTTAGAATAGACCATCGATCTCGCCAGTCTCGGTGTCCACATCGACCTTGAGGTAACCCGGCGCCGTCGGGAGGCCGGGGATGGTCTGGATGTCGGCGGCGAGAGCGTACAGATACCCGGCTCCTGCCGCCATCCTGACGTCGCGGATCGGGACAGTGAAGCCGGTGGGGGCGCCCTTGAGGTCGGGGTCGTGCGACAGCGAGTACTGCGTCTTGGCCACACAGATGGGCAGGTTTCCGTAGCCCTGCTTCGTGTACGTGTCGACCTTCTTCTGCGCCAGCTCCGACAGCTCGACGGCGGCCGCGCCGTACATCTCGCGGGCGATGGTCTCGAGGCGCTCCTGCACTGTGCCCTCGAGCCCGTAGAGAAGGCCAAAGTCGGGCTTGGGAAGCTCGCTGGCCGCGATGACGGCTTTGCCGAGCTCGACTGCTCCCGCGCCGCCTTCGGCCCAGTGGTTGGAGAGCACGGCGTCGACGGCGCCCGCCGCAAGAGCCTCCTCGCGCACAACTTCCACCTCTGCGGCTGTGTCGGTGGCGAACTTGTTGATGGCAACAACCACCGGGACACCGTACCGGCACGCATTGGCAATGTGCTTTCGCAGGTTCGTGCAGCCCGCCCGCAGCACCTCGACGTTCTCCTCCTTGTAGACTGGGTTGAGAGGCGCGCCGGGGGCGATGGGCGGACCACCTCCGTGCACCTTGAGAGCCCTGACAGTCGCCACGACGACCACCACATCGGGCACCAGGCCGGAAGCCCGGCACTTGATGTTGAAGAAGCGCTCACCGCCCATGGTGAAGTCGAAACCAGCCTCGGTAACAGCGAAGCCCGCCTTGGAGGTGTGGTCCTCGTCGGGCTCGGTGCCGACCAGCTTGAGTGCCATCCTGTCGGCCAGGATGGAGCTGTTGCCAATGCTGATGTTGGCAAAAGGCCCGGCGTGGACGAAAACAGGCGTGCCCTCGAGTGTCTGCATAAGGTTGGGCTTGATGGCGTCGCGCATCAGAGCGGCCAGGGCTCCGCTGGCGCCAATGTCGTCGCAAGTGACCGGGTCGCCGCTGCGCGACGTGGCAACAACCATGCGACCCAGGCGATCACGCATGTCAGCAAGGCTCGTACTCAGGGCTAGAATGGCCATGCATTCGCTAGCAACCGAGATGTCGAAGCCCGTTGCACGCGTCTGGCCACGCTCCGTCGGCGCTGTGCCGATCGTGATTCCTCGCAAGTGACGGTCGTTCACGTCCAGGACGCGCCTCCAGGTGATGGTCTCAGGGTCGATGTCGAGCCGCGCGAACCGGGTTATCTCCTCCTCGGTCAGCTCGTCTGGGTTGGTCTTAGTGATGCCCAGCTTCTGCAGACGGCGGAACATGATAGGGGCAAACTCCCTCTTGCCATTCTTCACAGGCACCAGGCGCTTATACAGCGCAGCATCCTTCTGTGTGTTTTCGTGGAAAATGCGCGTATCAATGGCAGCGGCAAGCAGATTGTTGGCGGCCGTGATGGCATGGATGTCGCCTGTGAGATGGAGGTTGAACTCGTCCATGGGGATGACCTGGCTATAGCCACCGCCGGCGGCCCCGCCCTTAATGCCAAAGGTCGGGCCTTGGCTGGGTTGGCGCACGTTTGCAAACGTCGGGCGCCCCAGGTGGGCGCCGAGAGCCTGGGCCAGGCCCATCGTAGTCGTGGACTTGCCCTCGCCAAGCGGTGTCGGGGTGATGCCAGTGACGACGACATACCGACCGTTGCGGCGGTGCTCGAGGCGGCTAAGTAGGCTAAGGTCAACCTTAGCCTTGTACGCGCCGTACGGCTCCAGCTCCGAGCTGGCGATGCCGACCTCGCTGGCGATCTTAGTCACGGGCTTGGGCACCTGGGCCATGGAGATGGCAATGTCTGCGGGGACGGGCTCGATCAGCTTTAATGATAGCGGGGAAATCTTGCGATCCTTTTGCCGCTGGAAGTGCATCGTGGCCGACTCTGTAACGTTCTGCAACAGCATTGCCACTGTCATGGGACCGACGCCTCCTGGCACAGGAGTGCGGAAGGAAGCGACCTGAGAAGAAGACTCGGCATCGACGTCGCCGACCAGGCGCTGACCCGAAGGCTTGGTGGAATCAGGGATGTAGTTGGTGCCGACGTCGATGACGATAACGCCGGGCTTCAGCCACTCTCCCTTGATAAGCTGTGGCTGGCCAATGGCGGCGATAACGACGTCAGCCGTCTTCAGGTGGTCCTGAAGGTTGGCCGTCTTGGAATGGCAGATAGTGACGGTGGCGTCGGCATTCCTGAGCAGATTGCTCATGGGGATACCGACGATGTCGCTGCGGCCAACGACGACGACATTCTTGCCCTTGAGATCGACGCCTGTCGACTGGAGCAGGACCATGACACCCTTGGGGGTACAGGGGACAAAGAACGGCTGGCCACCACGCTTAGCCAGCTCGCCGACGTTGTAGGTGCCGAGACCATCAACATCCTTCTCGTCAGCAATGGCCGAGGTGATGATGTGCTCGTCGAGGTGTTTGGGCAGAGGCAGCTGAACGAGGATGCCATGGACCTTGGGGTCGCTATTGAGGCTGTAGAGTTTGGTGAGAAGCTCTCCCGCCGAGACAGTCTCGGGATAGCGGGATATGTCACATTGTATGCCAACCTAGACCTAAGGGTGAGTAGGTGGGCAGGCGCAGATAGCAGGGGTGGAAGAGACATAATTACCTCGAGGGCGGCCTTGAGCTTCATGTCGACATAGAGGGCTACGCAAAGACGGAAGGGGATTATTGTCAGTGACTTTAAACGAATGCCAGCCTGTGGCAGCTATCGGGGCGCTCTCGCTCCATCGTGATCCTTGGCAGATAGAACGCAGGAACGGTTATTCCCGAAGGGAGCAACCTACTAGAGTCGGATCGATCACCAACTAGGACAGGTTAGCATGGCTGATCATGAGGAGGCCAGCAGGCAGCAAGAGAGAAAGGTACCAACCTTGGATGATCTTGAGACACGGCTTATACAGAGGGTTTGTGGCCTGCTTCTCCTCGATCTCGGACCGCAGGCGCTCCCGGATCTCCTTGGCAATGGCCGTGCCGCCAATCTTGGTTGCCGCCATGGTGCGGTGTGAGGACGAGAAAAGTCTTGGGGGACAGGGAAGGCGGCCGGAGCAGGCTGGAGGACGCCGTGGTGGCGGGCAAGAAATATAGCTGCAGCTCCAGCAGAATGGGCGCGGGGCGAGTTGGGCGAATGCGCGGACGGATGGCAGCAGCAGCAGCGGAGGCGGGGGAGAGAAAGCCGAGGAGGCGGAAGACCCGAAACACAGAACAGCAGCAGGCGTTACGGCGACAGCGATACTGCTGGCGCTGGTGCTGTGGGACCGAGTCACTCCGAGCTCGTCAATGGGCGTTGGCCCTGTGTCGCGGCCCGGTCCAGAAAGCCGTCGGGCGCTGCTCCTCGAGCTCAGCAAAAGGCCACCTAAAAGGCCACTATGCCCACGCACCCAGCGATTTCGCTGAATTGCCAGGCTCCAGTGTATGCCCCATCTAGACATGCCCCTCGGGGTATCTACCCGACAACCCAGGTGATAAGCAGCAGACGCAAATTGTGACTGAAGAGTCCAAATATCCCGACATCCCTCAGTCTCCGTCTCCTTCACTCGCACTTGCCCGACGGACAAATGGACGATACAACTCGTACCTCGAGCGGACGGCGAATCGAAGCGACTCAAAAAGCGGAGTCTCAACAACGCCTGTCACAAAATGCATCTGGACGTGTCTGTACGTCTCCTTTTTGAGTCAACAGCTAGACTGGGTACAAAGAGCAAAATGGATGGTCGTGTTATATGACTTGCTTGTTACCAACAGCATTTTGGAACGATCCATACACACATTATTATCCCCTCAAAAACATAAGGGGAGCAATTTGACTTTGGACCTCTTTATGTGTTGTTGAATTCCAGAAAAAGACAGGGTGCCTGAGCCTCAGTCACCTTTTATCGCCCAAACGCATGACCTTTACTTCCATGCTTCCATGAGACATCAGAAATTCCGCCGGCCATGAATGAAAAATGGCCCGTGCGCCAGTGACTAAAGGCGGTGAATCGCGGTCAAATGAGTCAAAATGTGATGTGTGTGGAGGATCGCACGAAGGGCGCGGTACCTCCCCGAGCCCCTGCTGCCCCTCCACAAGCGCCGTTTGGCGCCCGCACACAACCCACGTCGCCCTGTCAAAAAATCGACCCTCGGAAAAAAGGCGACGTCAACCACCGACGAATTATCTGCGACGGACCAAGCGAGCCTCGACAACCAGCTATTAAACGATCGAGACTTCCGACCGACGTCCCCGATAATCGTTCCAGTCAGTCCCTGGGTTCGGCAACCAAGAAAACCCCGTCAAGATGAGGCCTGTTCTGCTGTCGGGCCACGAGCGTGCCCTCACCCAGATTAAGTACGGATCCCTGCCTGTGTTGCCTTGCTGTTTCTCCGCCACATAGCTTGCTGTACCGCTGGAACTGGCAGAGACGAGGATGGAAAGAGGGGGGAAATGAGAGGAGCAGTAGCGAAGAAGAAAAGCTGCATGGGTGGCGCATGTCGAGAGGGTGTTGTTCGCGAAGAATACCAGAAAGGGGTCCCCGCATGCAGGGCGCAGCGTGGATCAAGACCAAAGCAACTCGAACGGACACGTCCGGCTGACACTTGAGGCTGCTGCTGCTGCGCAAACACAGGTTCAACCGCGATGGCGACCTCATCTTTTCCGTCGCAAAGGACCAGCAAATCTGCGTTTGGTACGCCCACAATGGCGAGCGGCTAGGCACTTATCATGGCCACGTCGGCGCCATCTGGACCGTCGACGTCGACCCCACGAGCACCGTCATCGCCACCGGGTCCGCAGACAACACCATCAAGCTGTGGGAGATCAAGACGGGCCGCTGCCTGGCCACCTGGGAGTTCCCCACTGCCGTCAAGCGCGTCGAGTTCAACGAGGACGGCACCCGCCTGCTGGGCGTCACTGAGAAGCGTATGGGTCACCTGGGTACTATTGTTGTCCTCGACATCAAGGTCGACGTCGACGCCGAGCAGGACCCCGAGACGGCCATGACCATCGTCTGCGAGGAGAGCAAGGCCACTGTTGCTGGATGGAGCTACATGTCCAAGTACATCATTGCCGGCCACGAGGACGGCTCCGTGTCGCAGTACGACGGCAAGGTGAGTTTGCGGTCACGTACAACCTAGCAACCGGCCGCAAGACCGTCCAGCTAACCCAAAGCCCAAGACCGGCGAGCAAATCCACTCGGTCCAGATCCACGACCTCGACATGCAGCTCACCGACCTTCAATGGTCGCAGGACCGCACCTACTTCATTACCGCCTCCAAGGACAAGACGTCCAAGCTGGTGACCGCCAGGGACCTCGAGGTGCTGAAGACCTACGTTGCAGACACTCCTTTGAACAGCGCCTCCATAACTCCCAAGAAGGATTTTGTCATCCTGGGAGGTGGCCAGGCCGCCATGGATGTCACCACCACCTCGGCGCGCCAGGGCAAGTTCGAGGCTCGCTTCTACCACAAGATCTTCGAGGATGAGATTGGCCGCGTAAGGGGTCACTTCGGTCCTTTGGTGAGAACAATTTTCCCCTCCTCGGCGCCTCCATATCCCCCCTTCTCTACTCCATTCTCTAACCGGAGGACGCCCTGCTTTAGAATACTGTTGCCGTAGAGCCCAACGGCAAGGGCTACGCCAGTGGTGGCGAGGACGGCTACGTCCGCGTACATATGTTTGATAAGGGTTACTTTGATTTCATGTACGAAGTGGAGAGGGAGCGCGCCAACAAGCTAGCAGCACAACAATAAATCCGAGGTCTGGTGGTGATGACGGTAAGAGGTGACTTTTCTTTATTTGCGGCTCGTTCTTTCCTAAAGGGGGGGCATCTAAGGCGTTTTGGGACTTCTATGTGTGTCCGAGTCTGGACCAAAAAGTGTGGGCTTAATAAACGGCGTTTTTTTTTCAAACACCCTACCCCCTGGGTACAGAAAGCGTTCGCTGTACTGCGCAGCCGCCACGAGCGATCCTAGCGGACTCGGTAGGATTTTGTATTTTGATATTAGACATACAATGGATGACGGCAAGCCCCAGGGTCTTGACCCCAGGCGCAAGTTCACGAGACAAAAGCATTTAGAGCAAGCGATATCATTTGACTGCCAGTTAGCTACCTCAAGCTAGAAGCCACTGACTAGATGCATGCGAGCGCATAAGCCAGAGAACCAGACTCAGATCCCTCGTCGCCCCAAGAGGAAAAATAACAAACCCGACGCTCTCGGTCTATCGATATATCTCCCGCATTTCCCCTCCCATTGGCGCGGTTGTCCGGCGATGTACCTGCCGTGGTGCAGATGAGAAGAAGCCCCTGAACCCAGCGCATTGAGGAAAAAAAAAAAGGAAATAGTAAAAAGCAAGCCAGCCCAGTTTCGCAAACGCCACATTGTGATTTTCTTTTCTCTCAACCATTGACCCCATCTCTTTTCTATATGTACAAGAGAATGCGATATTACAACCCCCCGCCGATATGGGTTTAACTCATTTCTTCTTGCCCTTGGACTTGCCCTTGCCCGACGGTGCCGGGGACGTATTGGAAATTACGCTCGACGCGCGCGACGGCGCCGCCGACGTGGCCTTGCTGCCGGGGCCCGACTTGACATTATCGAGCGCCTTGTTCTACAGGTAGTTGCACAAGGTTCGTCAGCCATGGTTCACGGGGGGCGTGGTAGGCAGAGATGTCTGCTGGCTAGGATGGGAATGTTACCTTTACTCCGTTCTTGGACTTCTTCTTGGGCGGAGCCATGCCCAGGATGCTATCCTCGTCGTTCTCCTCGTCCTCGACCTCGCGCTTCGCGCGGCCGTTGACGCCGTTGGCTCCCTTGGCGGTTGTGTTGACGTCGTCAAACTCCTTGACGATCGTGGTCAATAGCGTGGTGCATCGACGGCTGAGCTCTGTCGAGCTCCTGCTCAGGAAGAACCAGTCGAACCGGAAGAGCGGGCTCTCGCGTATCTCGTCGCGGATCTTCTCAAAGATGCCCTCCGAGTCGATACCATGCTTGTCGAGCATGACGAGGAGGAACCGGTCCTCCTCCTCCGTGTATACCTTCTTGTTCGTCGTCGAGACCGAGTAGTTGATCTTGAGCTGCTGCAGCGGGACCCGGTACTGTCCCATCTTTTTGCGCAGCATCTTGCGCTGGTGCTCGATCTTGCGAAGCTTCTCCTCGCCGTCCTCGATCGTTTTGATGGCTTTGGGGTAGTCAGCGAGCTCCGTGTACCGCTGCCAGAAGACCTTGGAGTACGCCTTGATCTCGGCAGCCGTCTTGCTGCCGACCTCGGTGGCGATGCCATCGTAGTCATGACGGCCAAACTTGTGGCACCCGTTGACGAACTGCTGGAAATCTCTCCTGTTCCACTCGAAGAATCCCTCCTGCGAGAGCTGCTGCTTGCGCTCCTGCTCCTCTTCTGTCAAGGGAACGGCATTGTCGATCTCTTGCTGTTCCTGCGCCTGCTCCGCCTCCCGCTCGGCAAGATCAGAATCTTCACCATCCGGCAAAGGAACCTTGTAGCCAATCTCCTTGCGGTAGTACGCCGTCTCACGATCCTGCAGGTCGCGGAGCTCCGGCGGGAAGAACTGGTAGTCCTGGATGTGGTACTGCTTGGGAGCGCGAGGAGCTTTGGGCTTAGCCTCCTTGGGTGCTCCTGTGTGACCATAGATGGCCTGTCGGTAGTACTTGTCCACCGAGTACGTCTGCTCCTTGCGCTCTCGCTTGGCCGGGTTGATCCACGTGGCGCCAATGTCCTTCTTCTTGGCAAAATTCTCGCCGTTCCAGTCGTACGCCGACTCGGAGGAGAATTTTTGCAGATCGTCGATTCCAAGCTTCTCGTAGCGGGCGTTGAGCTCGCGCGTGCGGCTCTCACCCGAGGCAAGCATCCCGTCGATATCATCATCCTCGAGGTCATCGGCTGTTGTGATGGAGCTCTTGCCCGATTCCCTATTGAAGACAGACTCGGCTCCGTGCTGGATCATGGACAACAGCTCGTCCTTGTTAGCCGCAGCTTTGGCGGCGACTTGAGCTCTTCCCTGTTGAATAACCAGGCGGTCGAGGTGCAGCTTCTGCGCCGCTCGCTCGAGGACCTTCTCCTCGATGGTGTTATCGATGAGGAAGCGGTAGACCACAACCTGCTTGGTTTGTCCGATACGATGGGCACGGTCCATGGCTTGGAGGTCGGCCTGGGGATTCCAGTCACTGTCGTAGAGGATGACAATGTCCGCCGTGGTAAGGTTGATTCCCAGGCCACCGGCCCTCGTGGTAAGCAGGAACACGAACTTCTCAGATCCAGGCTTGTTGTAATCATCAATGGCGGCTATACGGTCCTCATGGGCCGTGCTTCCATCAATCCGGCAGTATTTGTACTCGCGGAAGACGCAGTAGTCTTCCAGGATGTCAAGGACTCTGCTCATCTGCGAGAAGATGAGCACGCGGCTTCCCTGACTCTGTAGGCGCTTGAGAAGCTTGTCCAGAATGACCATCTTGCCAGCGTTGTAGACCAGATGCTCGTCGGTTGTGTAGGGAGGGCCAGGCTCGGCTCCCTCGAACAGGTAAGGGTGGTTGCAGCACTTGCGCAGCTGCATGACAATGTTCAAAAGCCGCGTCTTGGACTCCCGCTTTCCGTTGGCTCCGTTGACGGCGTCGATATCCTTCTCGAGAATCTTCTGATACCAGTTACGCTGCATCTCCGTCATCTTGAGATAGAGGTTGACTTCCTTCTTGGGAAGAAGGCTCTTCTCCACATCACTCTTGACACGCCGCAGCAGGAAGGGTCGGAGCACACGGTGCAGCTGCTGGACAACTGTGTCCGAGTCCTTACCCTCCCCAGAGAACCACTGGTCAAAGGCCTCAGAGTCGCCGAACACATCGGGCAGCAGGAAGTTGAGCAAGGCCCAGAGCTCGTGGATGTTGTTCTGGAGCGGTGTACCTGTGATGAGCAACCGGTTGCGAGAGTTGAAAAGCCTGATGACCTGTGCCAACGACGACTCTTCGTTCTTGATTCGGTGGGCCTCGTCAATGATGATGTACTCCCAGGCGAACTTTTTGAGATGGGCCTTCTCGCGTAGAATCATCTCATAACTCGTGACACAGACATCAAAGTCTTCGTCGACGAGCCGGTCGTTTATGAGCGCAGCACGCTCTTCTTTAGCTCCCTGCAGGACGAGGACGTTGACCTCGGGTGTCCACCTGGCGATCTCGCGCTTCCAATTGTCGAGCGTGGACTTGGGCACGATAACCAGGTGGGGGCCGGTGATGTCCATGATATGCCGGAGATAGCCCAAGAACGAGATAGTCTGCAGTGTCTTCCCAAGACCCATCTCGTCTGCCAGGATGCCAGAGATACCGTTCTCGTGCAGTGAGATCAGCCAGTTGAGGCCCGCAATCTGGTAGTCTCGCATCGTTCCTTGGATGAAGGCGGGCGACTCGCGAAAAACAGTCTCAGCCGAGCCACCATACTTCTCGTCTTTGAGGAGCTCCGCGTCCTCCTCGGCTTCGGTCTTGCGGAGCTTGCCGCTAGCAGCGCCGCCCTGGCGACTTGAACTCTTTTTTGACTTGGCCGCCTCAGCATTCTGGGTGTCGATTCGCTCCATGATTTCGCGGATCTTGGGGTCGGGGTTCGTTTCGATAAAGTGCCGGAACAGGTCTGTGAGGCCGAGAAGATACCTGAATCTGCGCAGAGTATCATCCTCCTATTCAAGGCGGTGCGCTGTCAGTACAGCGATCCATCGTTGGTAACAGATGCGCCGGGGCTGCAAGGTCGTAGCCCCTCATGACTGCGCAGAACAGCACATCATACCTTTGACTCGCCCAGCCGATCATGTTTGCGACCAAAGATGCTACGGCGCAACTGATTCGCCTCCGTGCGGCGTTTCCGTCCATCAACGGTCGAATCGCCCATGACACTGCTAGCAGTGGTGTTTGGGTTCGTATCCGAATCGGTCATGTCGGGGGTCTCGTCCACATCCTAGTCTCTTGTAAGTTGAGGGTTACAAGCGAGAAATCGGGCCCAGAGCACTGCCGGGTTCGCATGCATGCGGTCAAGCTTACCATTGAGTCGCCGCCCTGTGGGGCTTTGCTGGCCGTGGCGTCTGGCATGGACGCGTCGGTGTCGTGGCCGCTCGCTCGCTCGGAGCGAGGAGGCATCTTGGCGGTGCTGAAGTGCGATCACTTATACGCGACTGAGACGCGCCTTGCTGGAACTTCTGACGGGGACTAGAGATTCTAGGTCGGATGTATTCTCCGTGATTGCGACGGTTGGTCCGCGCCTGCAGCTGATCAACAGGTTGTAATGGTGGCAGGTTGGTGCGAGAGTGGTTGTGTCCGGCAGGAGGGCTGGGATGCCGGGCAAGAAAGTCTTCATGCGGCGCCGGGAGGTAGACAGACCCACCCAACGCGTCAAATTGATCCTAGAGTTTTGTCACGTGAATGAAGCTCCCCACCTCCTGCCGTGGCGGCGTAGGCTAGGCTGATTCAGCAGCGGGCTGGAGGCGCGCTGACAACAACAGCCCCACGCACCTTCCAGAGCGTCCGCCAGGTGCGCTTTGATCAGGCCCCTGACGCCCAAGCAAGGCAGGCCGCAGGCAGAGACATCATCGCCTATTCCTCCACTGGCTTGAACATCGTTGTTCCGCTTCCCGCCTCCAAACACTAACGGCGACTCGGAGCTGGAAACCGCGCTAGATTTGCCGCCTCCACCGTCACCATAATAAAGCAAGACGCAGCGTCGCCACAGTCACTCGTGCTCAATTGTCGTTATTATTATCTGTTTCAGCCACCGCTGTGCCCGTCTATCACTCCATCGCTTGTCACTCATTTGAAAATTGGAAATCCCACGGCGAACCACAATCGGCCACGCAAACGACCCCGACCGCCTGGCGATACCCACCAGCCTGCTCTCACGAGGCCCAGTTGGGCTCCCCCTCTGCAACCTCTACGACCCACTATCCCACTGTTTACGGAGCCGGCACGGGAGAAGAAAAAACCCCTCGCCCAGTCCCGGGGCAACAGAAAGGCTGCCAAATAGCAAGGCGGGCAAGGCCAGACCGCCATCGACGCCGACCTTCATTCCTTCGCCTCGCAAGGTGTCCCGGAAGGACACCCTGCACCGGCCGATACTCCGACACCCCCAGCTCCCTGACCAGCCAAGCGACGGGCCACACCATCACAACCACAGCAACCAACAGATTGCCACACCCTGCACCCCACCCACGATGAGTGCAGAGTCGCCCGAGCAACTGCTCGACGCCTTCAAGGCGGCGGCCTTGTCCGTCACCCGATTGTACAAGACGTCGGCCGGCGCGCAGGCCAAGGCGCGGACCGACGGGTACCAGGACTGCCTGGACGATCTGCTCACCTTTCTCGACCGCGAGAGCATCGGGCTGGGCGATGGCGAGGGCTGGAAGATACGGCGCTGGGCCACGGAAAGACTCGAGGGTGGAGCTCGAGAGGCTTCGTCGCAGGGTCCCGAGAGTGAGGATGACGCCGACAAGGCTGAAACGGCCTCGTCCCCCGAGTTGCAACGCCCAACCATCGCTACCGCACCCAGCTACCCCGCTGTCCCCCCGATGCGGACAGACTCGGCGCCACCGCCGTCCACGGTACCGACCGCGACAACGCCATCGACAACCACGGCAGATTCGACGGAGATCGATCACGTGCCAGCGATATCCGTTCCGACACAAGAGACATTCAACTTTCAGTCATCGATTCCGTATCCCCAGGAGCCCAACTTGAACCTGGCAAGTCTCGACCTTTCCGACTCGCGACCCCAGGATGGTAGTCAGCAACAACAAACATTGCTATCTTCTGCGGTATCGCTGCCCGGACGATTTTCGAGGACACGGCACAGCGGGGGTGCTAGTCGAAACCCAGGGAGGGCACCAACACGGCTGGGAAAGGGGGCGGGCCAGAAGAGGAGGATGGGAGACGATCTCGCTGACATTTTCAACATCGGAAGTCTGGGCTATAACGGCAAAGACTTCTTCGGCGGGGGAAAGAGAAGCAAACACGCCTAATGGGATATGAATATGTGGCACGACCGTACAAGAGGAGGGGACTTTTCACGAAGCATTCTGATCAAGCCAGCATAAATTGGGGCGTTAATTTGTGGTTGCTTTTCTTTTCTTCTTCCCCTTTTCCATCTTGGCTCTCTTTACTTGGGATGTAAGGGGCGGCGCATTGAACTTGCGGGCGCTTACGCATGTGCGGGAGCGACACGATTATCAGTGCACGCAGCAGCCGTCATGGTCGCGATTGTCACCCAGCGCATATTAGACGTGATGGTGCGGTTCATATTTATCATTCATGAGCTGGGTGGAACTGGTGTCTTCGGTTTTTGGGGTTTGTTTTTGTTGTTTTTTTCTTGTTTTCTTTCGTCCATCTCCCTCACTTCGACGTCTCTCACTCTCTCTTGTTAGATGGTTCCTTTTTTGGGGAGGGCATGGGCTGGCTTCAATGTCAGGGATAGAAATGGGCGAGCGGAACTTTTGTATGCAACTACATCCCCGCTATATCCGAACAACCTACCAGGTGTTAAGGTGGTAGATAGTCAAGTGAGTCTGATACACAGTTCACACCTACGGCCCCTAATCTGTATTCAGATCCGTGTAGTCTGCGTCTGGGGGTGTCATCAGTCAAAACGCGGACCAGACTCGCAGTGTTTGTGACCCCATCTAACTGACCCCTCACTTCGAAAAGGCCTTGCATCAAACGGCCTGTGTGGGGGGCGCAGTATTTAGACGTGCAGGACTAGCTAGTTGTGACGAACGACTCTCGGCGGGACTGCGAGTCACCTCATGTCAAGAGGCAAGGACAAACAGGGCCCCGACGCAAGCAGGTTCGATAGGTCCCCAGCCCTAGGCACGAACATGCAGCTACTAAACAACTCGCAAGCTGAACAGGGCAGCCAAGCTGCTGGCATTGTTGGCCTCGCATATGCGACCGAACCGAGGGCCGTCTCTTGCGCCAGGACTGTAGGACGGACAATGATCGGACGCCACGAGGAGGGGGGGAAACGTCGTCCATATCGAAAGAAACACGTCGGGTACACGCAGTCAGACGAAGCCAGACGAAGCCACGACGAAGACACAACGTCTCTGGCGTGGGGTCGAGGAGGAAAATATGGCCAGGGTAGTGGCGGCGATGGGCAGCGATTCGCGGGCCTGCTGGGCGGACTGGGGCCGGCAGTAGCATCGGCCGTGCACAGCGGTTGCATGTGAGTGGTTGGAGGGTTGGCGTGCGTGTGTGTGGGTGGGATGTGGGTGCGAAGTGTGGTGTGTGGTGTGGTGGTGGGTGGTACTGTGGATGCGGCCCGGCGACAATCTCGCGGGCCGGAAGCAAGGGACGCGAGCAGAGGAGCACGACTGCCCAAAAGTTGTGCTCGTGAACAGCTAGCTGGAGCGCAAGCCGTTCGACAACGACTTGTGAACTGAGAAATGCTCCGAGCCAATCCGCAGCCCTGGCTGGGCCACTCAACAAACGCCTAGGCACCCTGCCCTCGCCACCCGCAAGCTGGTGAAATTTCCCACGTCGTGCCTCTCCACCCTGCCATTTTTTATTGTTTTAATCTCAATCGTGACGGCCCAAACGCCCCCGGGCGCCCATCCACCCCTCGCTCATCCTCGCTGGCCCGCAGCTCCGCGAGAGGAGAATGGTACAGACGACCAGCAATGGCAATCCGGGCAAGGATTTCGCTTGCCGGCACCGACTGGTTAGGCGTTGGTGCGACCCCGTCCCTATTTGAGCCCTGGTAGCGAAAGTGGTGGTGGTCTTGCTCCCCGTATGTTTTCATGCATGGGCCTAGCCGGGAACCCCCTGGCCCCGAGCTAGCCTAGCTCTGCATATCTTGGGATGCTTTTATGTTTTTGTACCGGGAAAAAATCCCCTATCGCGGCCCTATTTGTTGCCGTGGGCCGCTTCCTTGGCCCCCTGTTCCGCTTTCTCTCGCTTCTCTTTCTTTCCCCAGCCATCACCACCGAGGCACGTCCATTCTTTCACTTGTATATCTATAAAGTCACTCGCTCTTCCTCGCCGCTGCAGTCGAATAATATCACCTCGATACTAGAAACCAGCAACTTCCAGCCAGACGCCGCCTGTGCTAGTCGTCGCCAGACAGCCCACACAAGTTCAGAACGAAAAACAACCAAAACTCGACAAAATGAAGTTCTTCCTGCTCCCGCTTGCCTTCGCGGCCTCTCTGGCCGCCGCCCAGTCCTCTGCCTGCGGCGCCGACTACATTGTACGTCACGATTCCGGTCCAGGTAGTCCTGCTTCAAGGCTGCCATCTTCCCTGGATGTGTATCCTAGGAGAGATTCTGACACGACTAACATGCTAATTTTATTTTCTTCACCCAACAGTTGGAAGCATGCCTGACCACCGAGAACGCCAAGTTCGCCGCCTGCTCCGAGGGTGACTGGGACTGCAAGTGCTCGTCGTACAACAACATCATGACCTGCTTCAACAACGTAAGTCTGGACCCCCCATTCTCCTGCCGTGGGTACGTCTCGCTGACCACGCTGTACACCGCCCACCCAGTGCCCCAACGACCTCCGCCGCGAGACCCAGCAGGGCCAGCAAAAGATCTTCTGCGGCTACGCCTCCCAGTTCCCCTCCAAGACCGCTGGCGTCGCCAAGTCTTCTGCTGCCTCCGGTGGTGCCGCCGCCGCCACCACCACACCCGCCTCGGGCGCTTCCAACACCGCCTCTTCCACCACGGGCGCCGCCAGCCCGGCCAAGACCAACGGCGCCGCCACCGACCTGGCCATGAACGCCGGCGGCGTCCTGGCGCTCGTCGCTGCCGTTGTTGCTGCTGCCATGTAGGGGTCAGTGACCAATTGCTTTTCAAATCACATACAACAACAAAAAACATGAAAAGAACAACAGATCGGACGGCGCGTTGTGGTGGTATTTTTATTTTATTTTTATGGGTAACGACTACTAGCTTTCTTCAGGGCAACCTGCCGAAAGTGGCGATGTGTTTTCTGGGGGGAAAGGATATACCTAATTTTGCTGTTTAATCTTCATGAGTAAGCGCCTCGGCGCACGATCAATACGATACCACTTCACCCCCGTCACAATGCCCGATGTCCTACACTCTTGGGTGGTCGTGGCCAAGACTTCAACTCCGGCGTCGTGATAGCTGTGGGGACAGCTTTCATGCCAGGACTGGCTTGGTAGCCAATGGATTGAATTTTCAGCTGCTACATGCAAACTTGTGTTCAGCTTGAGTCGTTCCTATCCATCTAGCCTCTCGCGGAGAGGGAACCGACGTGACGCATGAATATCGAACGGGGAGAAGTGGTTGATGATGGTGTGATATTGGTTCCTTGAACATTCTGAGCTTCCCGGTGAAGTCGACGCATATCACCTTGCCTTCTTTGAAAATGAGAACGGCTGCATACACGGGGGTTCATACCCATGGGCATGGTTTGGACCCCGCCCTTGTTTTTTGTGGAAGGAAGCGTGATAATGCTACATGCGCCGTTGCGGGTAAAAACACAAAAAAAAAAAACGGAGAAAGGAGAGGCAGAGAAAGTTGTATCTTACTAGGTACGTCCTCTAACAGTTGACAGTCGTATGTGCCTTGGGCGGACCACAGTGAAAAGCTGATATCCCATGTCCGAACCGAACATTTTGTTGATAGAAAGAACCCGAGAGGTCGGTCTACCAGGGGAGCGGTTTTGACATATCTACCAGGGCAGATGTAGGCTAAAGGGCAACCTTGTTCCATGAAGCCCTTTTGAGATGGCCGCACTCTAGCATCATGACCGCGGCCAGTTGAGTCAAGAAAAAGAGACGACAGATGATTGTGGGAATGTATTTCTTGTTTCCAGGCGCTCGATTATCTTAGTATTCCGAGCGTCATATCTATGTCTTCAAAATGGATGGTCACAGCCCCATGGCTGCCCATCCTCGGATAAAAAATACATGGATAAAGGACAACGCTGATCCCCTCAACGAAAACGAAAAAGACCATCAGAAAATGGAGAAAAAAAGAGGTATCATCAAGTAAAACCCAACAAGTCTTCCGGGGACAATGAGAACTCTTTCGTGTGCTGCGTGCCCCCACCTAACCTCCTCACAACATCTGGGCTCATCAGCGAAACAGTGCTGATGGGGAAGAAAAAAAGACATGGGAACGCAAGCAATGAACCGCAAAATACGAAGTCGGAGCATGCAATAAATGATAAATGGGTCGAGGGCCGGCCGGAAGGGTGTGACACGTGTATTGATAGAATGATCAATGGTGTGTCGAGAATGTGGCCCCGTTATGTCGGACAACAACAAAACCAACCACCGCAAGACTCTCATGAGAGGACTTGTTTTCTTCTTCGGTTCTTTCCAGTGCTGCGAACCGGGCTCACAAACGCAACATGCCTGCTCTCGTCCTTCTCAAGACTAACCGAGCTGCCATTTCCTTTACGGACGGCGCGTGGAGTCATCTGGTCCTGAACTTCATGATCGTCTTCGAGTTTTATCTCGGTGACCGAGTCCGTATCCATGTTGTCACTGGCATCCGACGACGATCCATCGTCCGAGTCGTCGTACTCGCCGTCGTCGCTAACCAGAGATGGGGCGTTGTTGCTCGCCATCGTGTTGGGGCTGAGATCGACATCCATTTCATCCTCGTATAGGCCCGATGACGTCGATGCCTGGGAGAGCTCTGCAACGGGAGTGGTGATTGGCGTTTCCAATGCTTCGAGGTGCTGCGGTACACAACCTTTGCTGCTTGCCGGTCGACCATCGAGCCCAAGAGAAGTTGGTGCCATGACGGCACGCGCAGGCATGCGCATGACACCAGGACCCCTAGTGACTGTGGCGGCGTTGACAGGACTTGCTGGCTCGACCGAGTTGCTTGTTTGTTCCGCATCCGAGTCACCGTCGAGATACATCTCAGGGGTGTCCTCCCTGGTCTTTGCATCGGCCACATGGTCGTTCAGGTCACCGGTGAAGTTCTTGCCTCTAAGCAGGTGGGACAGATGAGGGAGATCACTCGCACCAACAAATGATGATGCGGGAGCCTTGGGGACGCTCTTCACGGCCGGGGGTGCTTCTTGGGAGGCTGCCGTTGAAGGAAGCGACTTGCCATCTTCGTATAGCCTCAAAGCAGCTTCAACGCGGGACTTGAGAGCCGTCAGCGCCTCCTGCTCCGGAACGTCATTGGCGCGGGCGTAGGGGTAGACGGCGCCGGTGGCGGGGTTGGAAGACGACTGCCCGATCGGCCCGGCAGCCGGTTTTTCTTCGCCTGCGGCACTCCCCCCGAGTTCATCGACTTCGATAGGATGGCCACAATGGACTGCAGCTTCCTCGTGACTCTTGAAATCCCGCTTGTGCGCTATCCGACAGTGGTTGATGAAGCCCTGAGTGCTAGAAAAGTTTTCCCTGTGGCAATCGATGCACACGAGCTTGACTGTTTTCCCATCGGAGCGCCTGAGGACGCATGGTCCTGCCTTGTCCTTGGGCTGGGCATATCCAGAAGAGAGCGCGTGCAGCTTTTGGGTGGACGAGCCGCGAGCAGGACGCTGCTTGCCAAAGCTGCCTGCGTCGCCGCTGTTCCTTGTCGTCCTACCTTCCGCCACACTCCTGGAAGAAACGGCATAGCCACCCGAGCCCTGCCATTCTGGCAGAATACCGTCGAACTTGGGGTCGGGAATGAGCCACTTGGCATAGTGTCGGGCGTACGGGCCGTCGACTACTCCAAAGGGAGGCGCCCATTCCGGCACGGGCTCGCCGGGCCGGGTGCGCATAGCAGGGCCCTTGCCGCTGCTTATCTCCACCATTTGGTCTGGGGTGGGACACGTGATCGGATATGGGATAAGGTGACACCTTCGCAGCTGCTCCAACGCTACCTGGCATTTTGCCAGCTCTTGATTAATCAAACGCAGTTCGTCATGCTTGTACAAAATCTCGAGGCCAAGCTGGAACTGGATGACATCTTTGGCACGGTCCATGGCCGGTTCTGCTCGGGGAGCCGGTCCCAGGGTGGGCTCTGCGGCCGAGATGGGAACTGACGTCCGTTCTGGACAGGAGCCGCGGTGGTCAGCAGCGCGCCCAGGCGCCGCCGCGGGTGGCGGCGCACATGATTCTATCTTGATGCGCTTCGGTGGCAGCTGATCCCGCGCGGGCCATGACACCGGCACCGGAGTCTCGTCAACACTAGATCTCCTCCTCTTCAACGAGTGGCCGGGGTGAAAAGCCGCTTTTGACGATGTCTCCAGGAAGGCTTGGACTGGCTTCGCGAACAGCGGCATGGGCAGCGTCGCTTCGACAGTCTTTTCACTCCCCCTTGAGTCGGTACCCCAGAACCGAAACATCAGCGAGCCAGATAGTGGCTGCGTAGCCCACAGTGATTGCTCCAACAGGGGAGCGCCGACTTGCGACAATAAAGTCACCAGTGTTGAGTGATGGTTGCGCGGAGGCGTGGATGGTGGTGGTGTTGATGGCAAAATTACACCTTGGTTGGGAATGATAAAGGAGTGAGGTGCAACCAAGTTGCAGGTGATAACAATGTGATGCGGCGACGTAAAGTCGGGCGCTGAATGCGCGATTGTCCAGGCAGTCGCTGACGTAACCCCGAGGGTAGTCGAGACGATGCGAGGCAGAAGCCAGGCGAGTTAAGCGGTGGTGGCGGGCGAAGGAGAGTGACTGCAGGCAGCGATGATGTGGCCGCCCCAGAACCAAGCGATTCTAGATGGGGTCACTCCGATGGGGCGCAAAGGCAAAAGCCGCGCGGAGGCGCAAACACGACGACACAGTGTTTTCCCGCCGTTCTCAGTCTTTCTTCCCTCTCAAAAAAGCGCGAGAGCTAGCGAAAGCCTCGACGACACAGCGACAGTTATTAAAAGGTTTGTAGGAGAAATAGTACAAAGTTGGTTGTGCAGCGCAAAGAAAAAGGAGGGCGCGAAGCGAAAAAGGGGCGAAAGAGAAGGTTTCTGCCCGTTCTGTCGCTGCTGTGTTAGAAAAAAAAAATGGTTGTTGCGGTTTGAGTGGGCGATTGACGGGGTGCCAGTCGCAGGCAGCAGGAGTTGGGTGGGCTTGTCGGTCCCATGTAAGGGGGTGGGAGCACGAGAGTGTTTGGAATGCCTGGAGGAGGCAAACAGGAAATGCAAGGGAACGGGGGTTGGCTTGTGAGCGGGCGTGCGTGGGTGCAACGGTAGGGTCGGCAAAGTGTGGTGGGGATAGGTGGGGCACTCGCTGGGGGATCTGTCTTACCCGTGCAAGCCGGTAAGCAATCAATCACTCAGAAGGGTGGGACTGTGCTGGCTGTGCAATTCGAGAAGGCTCGAGCCCGGACCACCCCCTCTCAATCAAGTCGCGAGGGAACGTGAATAATGCCCTTATTTCGGAGTCTGTCTCCCTCCCCTGGCAGTCAGGCTCTGTGCATGCAGCGATCAAAATAGATGCGCGGGCCCAACTACTGACGAGGCGGCGGCAGGAAGGAATGGCGTGCGCTCCCAAAGAACAGATGAGCGGTGCGACAGCGATGCACTCGGCGTTTCTTGGACTCGTCGCGCCCGTGTTGCTTGGTTAGGATGCGATGGAAGTGATAC